GCAATTTTTTTTCTTTACTTTTTTTGCTTTTATTATTCTTGCCTTTTTTATGATTATCAAACATGTTAAGGTCTCAGCTAGGGTCTCTTTGTTTTCAAGTTTGCAGTTTTTATTACTGCATGATTTTTATTTGGGAGCACCAAGTACATACTGTAATACACTTATGCTAGAGCAATAGAGGTACAAAACGTAAAATGTGGCTCAAACAGAAAAAAAATCGTAATTGAAATGGAGGGAGGGTTTCTGTGTCTTTCATTTTATAGAAGGAATCATGTGTCATTATCTGAGTTTTTATTATTTGTTTTTTATTAAGAGAAAATAAATGAGAAAAAAGCAATTGTTTTAACCTATGATCAGAAACCTGAAATTTACTGATGAACCCTTCTTTTTAGTCTAACCAGGGATCCAGGCTTTTAATTGCCACCTTAGGTTGTCTTACAAATGTTATTAAAATATAAGGACATCTAATTTCTTCTCCACTTTCATATTCTATTGCTTGACCATTTTTGGTATATATTATAACTAATGGTAGATTAAGCGCTTAAAGGAAATGTTTTGAATTGAGATTTTATAAGAGTACTGACAGGAATCATGCTGAATCCTCCCTCTCCAACAACATTGGACATGAGGAAATGTGTTAATTTATGTAGTAGAAGTAGGTTATAGTTTTATTTATTTTATTTTGCATTTCTCTTGTCTGTATATCTTAAAGCTTTATACTGACTGATGGTCTGGCATTGTGTTAAGCTGCTCCTTTATCATATTTTTCTCTCATTATTTTTTTTGTATTTTGGGTCAAAAGACTGAAACTAGAAACCTCCATAGATTTTGATTTCTTTTCTCTTTTCTTTTTATTGATTTGGAGAAAATTGCTCAGTGCAGTTTAAATAACCCCACCGATTTACAACATAAAAAACAAAGTGCTTTTTAGAAAAACTGTTGAAAATTAAATACAACGTGTTTCTTCGCGGGATAATGACTCAACGAGTAAGAAAGAAACTGTGATTTCATGTGTAGCCTATAATTCAGGATTAAGACTTTGTTCTCTAATGTTCCCTACAATTACTTTATCTTTGTCCTTCACTGTGAACATTTTTCAGTTTGAGTTTTTGTGTCCTGGTTTACAGAAGTAAAATGAATTCTCAGTCTCAATACAGTTTAGCTCAGCCTTGCTGATCAGTTATTGTACAGACTTACAAAAAACATTTTAGCTGACATCACAAACAAGAATGTGAAAGATAATTCATTTAACAGAGCGTAATATTTGCAACAAAGAAGGGACAGAATCTTAGAGGCAGACGGAGGAATTTAAAACCCCACATATAGATGCGGATATCTTAAGTCTTACTATTGGAGTAATTCATCTTAATCAAAGTCAACCCACTGTTGGAGGGTCTGAAGGATTCATTATGGCTTAGCTCTTGCCTGAGCAATACCAGGATTGTGTGTCAAATGACAGAATGAAAGATAAGGAGTCACATTATGCCTCCTGGACTGATATAATCTCTTCACAGTGAAAAGTGTCTAATACAACTCACCCAGTTACAAACCTTACTTACTTAATGATGACTTAAAACTATTTTTATGCAGCTGTGGATGTTGTTATATGTGGCTAATGTTTCAGGACTAAAAAACAAAACTTTAAAAAAAAAGGCCTCATGGTCAATAAGGGATTAAAAATGTCTACTCCTCAGATTTTGTTTCATTTCTAAATTTATTTTAGCTACAAATTTGCTCTGGGGGCACATGATGACTAAACAAAAGCTAAAAGAGCAGTGTGATTTATCGGTTGGATTTCTACATTGTTAGGAGCAAAATATAAAAATATAAAGAGGCAGAAGATAGTGTCAGTTACGTGGTAGGCTTTGAGATTTGAAAACCTTAGCTCTGCTCCTTTGAAGCTGTTTTTTGTTATCATCAATAAATACTCATATATATACATTTTAGGGTTCCACTTCTACTTAAATGTTAATATTACTTTAACAAGCACATTAGAACAAGTTATTACCATTAACAGTGAGGAAAATAAGTATCTCAACAAACTGTTGTTTTGCAGAATGCTCCTACGATGACAATTTCAGACCCCTCCATGATTTCTAAATGGGAGAACTTGCAAAATAGTAGGGTCGAGGAAATTAATCAAGCCCATTTCATCCTTCTCTGAACCAGTCTGGATGTGTGTTAAGAATTGTTGCCAACTGAAAGACTAAATAAGAAACAATAACAATAAAAAAGATTATGCTAAAACACTTTTGGATTTTAATGAAAGAACTTCAGAATGATCAGCTCTTAAGCCTCATTGCCACTAAAAACTGCTGGATCATCAGTTTCTCTGTCAATGTTTGTTTCAAATGATCAGAAGTGTATTTGGAGACCTTTTTAAATAACATGAACCTCTCAAACACGATGGTGGTGGCATCATGCTTAGGGGCTGATTTACTACTAGTGTCACCTACAAGTTATTTAAAGTGATTGTCTTAGTTGCCCTACTGGTGTTGGTATTATTATTCCACCAAAGAAAAATACAGTTCTAGTGTTGTTGTGCAAGGTACTGTAAAGCATGAAAGGAAACTAAAACATGGAGTTGCAAAATGATTAGAAAAATGATTTTACCAATATATAATTCCCTTTTATATATAAAAAAGGGAATTATATATTGGTAAAGTTACAGTTTTTGTTTTCATTCATGAGGTTATTTTTAGAACAAAATAGCCAACCTGGTCTCACTGGGAGTTTATTGTTAATTTTTATTTTTTTTTTTAACGAAAGGCATGCAGAGCTCTTGATTTGCAATGCGGACTGTATGGTGAATTCAGTTTAGCTTTAAAACTACATTTGAAAACAACAATAGCTTACCACAGTGCCGTATAACTTGTAGATCATCAAAAGATAAAATGCTATTATGAAGGAAGACAGTGGTTCAGGCAGGTTTCAAAGCCTGTGAATAAGAATGTTTTTTAAATTAGATTTGAAAGTATCTAATGTAGGAGAGGTCCTTATGTGCAGGGGCAGTCTGTTCCACAGTTTCAGAGTATTTAATGCAAAAGCAATGCTGATCTGGAAACAAGACGTTGTTCTTACTTTATCCAAATAAATTTTTTTGTGCAACTCAACCCGCAGTTTTTTTTAGCAAATATAAAATAGCTTTAAAAATATGTTTAAGGAAACCAGAATAAAACATTTGTACCTTATGTTTTATCAGGGTGTTTTGACTGTGAACTGTATCACCCAACAGAGTTGCTCTGTGTCCAATTGAAGGCTGCACTCATTACAGCGTGATCTGACTTCAGGCAGTTTTCTCATAAATTACCTGTAGTTATTTACATCAGTTACATTCCTCTGCCTGGCTGGTAAAGAAAAGAAAATGAATCTATTGTCATTGCATTTTCACAGCCCTCTGGCTCAAAACCTTTGAATTTTAAAGATGTTGGTCCTCCCCTTAAATCTGAATTACACCATTCAGTATGCATTTTAAAGATAGAATCTCCCATGGTCACAGCTAGTTTTTAGTGTTGAAGCATGAAGCTTAATATTTCAGCTCCAAGATCTTGTGAAGCACCTACATTTAAAATATCACTATGCATTGCATATAGCAGAGATATTAACTCAGGTATTAAATCATGTTTGAAAAGAAGGGGAGTGAGAGAACATTATGATCATGCAAAATTCAAGATGAATAAAACTGAAAGCAAAGATATGTGGTTTTCTCTATTAAGTAAATCTATGAATACATCTTAGTGATTTTACCTGGGGACTAACAGATACAAATATTTCTTCTTTTCTAGTCCAGATTCATATTAATTCAACACATTAATTCAAAACAGCTACATTTAACTGAGATTCCTTTTTATAATACACAAAACACAATGAGATGCTGGTGTGTCTGGGTTAAGATCCAACTACTTATAAGTGCACATGTAGCTATAAGAATGATGAAGCCGGCATGACTCAGCAGCCTTGTCAGCAGCAGTACAACTGTTCCTGTTGGTGTAAATCAAGATGTCAGGATGTGAAATGGCTAAGATAGTTAACACACTTGGAGCTTACTTTGTTATAACTCTTTATATTAATGGAACAAAAGAATTAAATTGAATGTACAGTTCTGTGGTGTGTCTCAAGAATAAAAACCCCCACCATGTCAAAGCTTTCACTCAACTGCTTTAGAGAAATCACTAAAGCAACACTGCTTCAAGTTTGACCCAGGTATTAGCTCAAATGGAGGTAAATATTTAAAAGATTTTTCAGGTCAATATACAGCAATTGGTGTGTATCGATGTTCTGTGTGGGCTGCTCTTCTGAAATATTCACTTATGTAACTCGAGAGGGTCGGATTCGTCACTAGTGCTTTACGCCAGTCTAAGCTCCTCTTTGACTTAAGGCAAAATGTTGTTGGTTAAAAATGATGCACACATAAATCGTGCACCAGGGTAAAACAGCAACATTTTAAAACGTTCTGTTCAGTTATTTTATTCATTGAGCTTAGAGCTTTATGTTCAGCAATCAAATGTTTCAGCCCGTCTAAGCAATTCAGTTTTTATTTGCTGTTCAAAATCCTCTTCAAGCTGAAGAGTGTTGTTGATTCTGATCCGAGAAACAAGCAGATGGTGGAAAACTCTTTTCTAATCTCAGTACTGTGGTATACACTGTTGTTGTCTTTCAAATCAGCCATCTGTAAAGTCTGTAGAATCCCAGTACTCCTACACCTCCACTGGTCTGACAGGAACATGATTCTGGATGCTGGGCTGACCTTCCTTCTGCTAAGGCTGGAGAAAGGTTGCAATACTGCCTATAAACCGAATACTGAAAAAGTGCAACTGTAAAGAGGTGTTTTGATCAAATAAGCAGATGTAATTCTCTAATATGTAAGGGAATTAAGTTTGCATTATTGTGCTGTTAATTTTTTCCCCACACCTGTCTGTAAGTGAAACTGTATTTTTCTTTTATTTGTGTGAAGGATTAAGATGTGAAAGATATTAAACAGAATGTTTTATCATTTTTAGATCAGAAGACGTAGACCAACTCCTGCCACTCTGGTGGCATCCAGTGATCAGTCCTCACCTGGTAAGAGACTCCAATGGAAACACCCTCACTTTACATACAATCCTCTAACTGCTGCTGTTCTATAAAGATCATGAAATTCAATAATAAAATCTTTTTAATTGGTTAGATTACACTAACAAGCGCAAAGCAAGATAAACTCAGATGGTTATGGAGAAGCAAATTGGTAAAAATTTAACAATTCATATTGTTCTCTTATATTCTCTACAAGAGTAAAGAAATGTTTTCACTCTTCTTTCCATTATGGATTTTAGGTCTAATTTAACATATTTTAGGCAGTTTTATTCTCTTAGTATTAAAGTCTTTGTCATCGTTATCGTCTTTTAGTTTAAAAGACGAGTTTTAGTTCCAATTCTAAGGGACTCATTTTACTTTAATCTTTATTACAAAAAAATAAAAAATTAACAAGAAAGATTAACAATCCCTTTTCGAGGGGTAAACAGCAACAAAAATAGAAGAAATTGACTAAGTGATGTAAATTAATATTTAGCTGAATAACATATAACTTTATCTTTCCCGGTATCCAGTAGGAATTAATTTCCCATTTCATGACTCGTTGCCATCTGTTGGGTTTCCTTAGACAGAAGAAATTTAACTAGTCGGTCTCTATGATTTAACTGCATAATTTGTAAAGTGCCTTGATAGGATATGAATTGTTAAGTAGCGCTATATAAATAAAAAATATTTGATTTGGTATTTAGTTACTTTCAATCAAATATATAATTAAGCTGTAAAAACCTATCCAACTTCATAGTTTAATAAGGTTGAATGTTATTTTGTCTTTTAACTTGTTAATAGTGTTGGTTTTTTTTCATTGGATTGACATTGAAAACTGATTTTTTGTGGGATCATTTGTTTTATTTTGTTTTTATTTAATTATTTCTTTTAATACAGTGCTTTATGATTCCTTTTTTAAACAATGCTTTAATTTATGTTATGCTTGAAAACAAACCTTTATTCTTTCACTGTTGTGACCTTTTCCAATTTGACTGCCATATCTTTAAAAATGTCCTTACATTTTGAAAAAAAAAAATAAAAAATTTACAACAAACAATGTTCTTTTTTTTAACATGAAGAAAGAGATATCTGCTTTTTTTCATTTGTGTTTAGGCTGAAAATATCCTGCTAAGCTTTAAAAAATATGATCACAGTGTATTTCATGTTTACCACTATTAGACAAACTAACTTGAAGCACAGACCTTTGCAACAAAGCTTATTTTATTACTCACTACATTTTTAACGCAATCTACACTTAAAATCTCAAATAAGAAGGAATAAGAAAAAAAAAACGTTTCTCTTTTTTTTTTTTTTTTTACTTCTGGGATTCTGCATCTCATCTCTTGTAACCAGAGTATGAATCCTCCTGCTGCATTACAGCAACAAAAGCAGCTTCTATTCCTCTCATGGGATCTTAATGATCAAATATAACAGGCAACCTCTGAGGAGTTCTCCAGCTGTATGAGTCATCCATCGGCTCCCTGTTTTCCTCACTGCCTCACTCTGGGAATGCGTTTGTGTGCAAAGTGACCTACTGCAGATTTAAAAGATGAAAGCAGAGAGAATAATTTTCTCCTAGTGAGAAAAGATGCTTGTGTTCACCAGCGTGAATGAGTACGAGATGATGAGTCACTGAGGTAATGGAATGATAAAATAATACTATTAAAATGCTTTTTTAGCCTTCATCTCACTGTTTATATTTTATTCCACTTAAAAGTCAGGCATTGCAAATAATAACCATTTCTTAAAGGATATATTCTAGGATCATTTTTTTAAGTTGTTTCCTTTACTGTAAAATACGTAGATGTTGATCTGTTGACGCGCTGGTTGGCCTCTAAACATGTCTGCAGCAGCCTTACTCACTTATTTTAAGTGTCAAAAGAACGATTTTTGCCTTCTCTGTCAGGGAGAGAGAATTGTAAAACTTTGCAGGCTATTATGTAGAAGAGTATAAAACAAAACAAAACATAATGGAGAATTGTGTAAGTTTATGTTAATCATTGCACTGTACTAATGAGTTTCATCCCATTGAAATAAAGCAGAATCTATTAGACATAAAAGCATCAGAATCTTTTTGTAGATTAAATACAATAAATAATATATACTATAAGAATGAAGCAATATAATGACAGATAAAATTATTAACAGGAACTTATATATATAAAACCAAGACGAAAGATAGAACAAAGGGAAAAGCAACTCAAGGTAAATCTAATAGATGACATTTCCATGCAAGGATACCGGGGCTGCATACCTACAGAGAGCATGAATTCATCTGATTTCAGTTTAGTGCCTTTATTATAATAAACCTCATTTCACTACATTTTACTGAGTCAAAAATTTTCTGAGGTACAAACACCCACAGCCATCATTTCTTGCAGTATTTATCCTCCCTAATAAGATGCAACTCTGCCTTAAGACATACTGGTAATATCTTAAAACCAAAAAAATAAACCTTACACAAATGAATGCATTTATGAACTTTATATCATAGACTAAGGGCAAGCACATCTAAAACTACATGTATGTGAATTATTGCCATTTACACATATATTTGCACTGAAGCATGAATAGGCAAAATAGATATATTCAGCCACGGATATTCTTATCTGAAACAGTGATACTTCCAAATGAGTAAAAATTGTGACAGTGCACTGTTGATGATTGGATGCTGCCAAGAAGGCACTACTTAAGGTTGCAATAATTCTTATGAAAATAGAATACTTTTTACTGTGCAACAGCTCAAGTCCCCCTTAATAAAAGGATAATGTTCAAATAATCACGACTCCAAATAGATAACTGACTGAGAAACAAGCTCGAGTAGCACAATTGAAATCGCTAAATTCATCCATCTGTTTTCAAACACGCTTAGCCCAAGTGGGGTTGCACTTATCCCAGCTGTCAACGGGCAAGAGCCGGGGTATACCCTGGACAGGTCACCAGTCCATCGCAGGGCAACACAGAGACAAAAAAACATTCACACACACTTACACCTAAGGGGACTTTAGAGAAGCCAATTAACCTAACATTCATGTTTTTGGACTGTGGGAGGAAGCCGGAGTACCCGAAACCAACACATGCTCAGGGAGAACATGCAAACTCCATGCAGAAAGACCCCCGGCTGGGAATCGAACCCAGAACATTCTTGCAGCAAGGCAGCAGTGCTACCCACTGTGACACTGAGCAGCCAAAAATCAAACAAAAACAAAAATGTTTTGTATTTATTGGTGATAATATTTTTCACGTATGTGTTGGTGTATGAACTTTTATTAAAGGGAAATATTCAAAAGGAAACAACCACTGCATGTTTTCTGTGTATCAATAAAAAAAAAGATAGTAGTCTATTTGTTAGAGTTATGCTGCATTACGTCTTTTTTCTTCATAAATGAAATCATTTTATAATTTCTCTTTGTGTTTATCCACTTTCAAGATTAGTTCCGTTTTCTGAGATATTCAAGTGCTACAAAAAACAAAAGCACAATAAATCTGTATAGAAGCAAACACTTTTTTACAGACACATTTTCAAGCAGTGATTAGCCAAATTATTGTTATGCTATAAATTACTGTAAAGCAGATTAGTGGTTCTCAGGTCCCCAATCCTGACTGACAACTTTCACAGATCATTTTGGATTTGATTCCCACTGATTCTTCCAATTTGAGTAGAAATACCCTAGTTGATTAGCTTACAAGCTGCTTGTATAAACAAGTATAAAGCTATCAGACTGTTTGAGATTAAATGCATCCTCACATACAATTTATATTTACAAGCATACAGAACTTTTGTTATATCTACTTTACTCTAGGCTTCAGCTTCACCTCCATGTCTTGAATAAATTACTTCTTTTATTTGCATATTCATATTGAATTGCTACTGTAGAAATCCATCCATCTTATTCCACAATATTTTGAACCCTCCCTTTATTCGTTCAAAAAATATTTTCTTTTTATTTCCGTTGAAGCACAGCTATGACTTGTCTCTTGATTAGCTTAAATATTACTTCCAGTGAATTACAAAAGCAACATTAAAAACTGAGATAATGAGAGGGACTAAGTGGAGGAGATTCAAAGATGCACAGACACACAATATCACAGCAGTTGTGATCCACTTTCAGTGCTGTTGCGTGTGAGAGTAAAAGCTTGTGCCAAAGAGGAGAAGGGGGATGGGATAAACCAGATATGATGATGAGGAAGAAGAGCTGCACTGATGCAGTAATGGTGTGCCCCACATCAGATAGATCTCTGCATTATTAAATGTGCTACAGATTTCTCTGCTCTATGTGTTGTGAACCCCAAAAGCACATCAGAGGAGCAGATACATCTAAGTCACATGCTGAGGGCAAAGTAATGAAGAAGGATCCTGAAAAGGGTGGAGAGATTTCAGTTTTCTTCAAGGCTAAGCAAGGATTTTGTGGATTTTATATTTTGAAGAGACTCATCTCAGAGTAAAAGGAGTGTTTTTTTTCATTCAATTACTAAGATTTATAAGTGATTATCATCGGATTGTTTGTACGACTAGTAGAGAACTGACTAAATAATGGCACAGCTATTCTTTATCATTTAGAACATTGTACACATCATAGGCTTTCTTCTTAAAAAAACTTAAGCGCATTAAGAATGTCTGATGTCCAGCACTTAAATTTATGGCTATATAAATCAACATGCCTTGTCTCATATTTTGCATTGTAATAAGCACTTTAGAAAACCTAATGTTTATTCTTCTGTACCATCGTGATATAAAAAACTGAGCTGTTTAAAAAACACAAACCTCCATATTTGTAAAGTCAAAATGATTTGTTTGTATTTACCACTTTCACAAATTGAGTGCATTTATTTATGAATTTATTGTCCACTCAGATCACAGATGAGCAACATGGGATTTTATGCCTTGCATAGCACATTTCAGTCTATAGCGGGATTTAAATGCAAAACCTTCAGTTGTCAGATGACTCATTCACAAGTAGCTCAGAAAATCTAATTGCAGGTATGAACTTTTTTCGGAGCTGGATCAGCTGAGGGAGTAAAAAACAGACATGGAGGTAACAAAAGAGCAAGACTAAATATCTTTGTAAGGCAGGTTTAAAAGCCTTCCACATTAGTTTCTTTCCTTTTATTGGAAAGTAAGAATTAATAAAATATGTGTAGGTGTGTTATGGTAAAATGGTAAATGGCATGTACTTATATAGCACCTTTTTTCAAGTTAGGAGACTTGACCAAAGCGCTTTACACTACATTCATTCACCCATTCACGCACACACTCACACTGATGGTGGCAAGCTACATTGTAGCCACAGCTGCCCTGGGGCTCACTGACAGAAGCGAGGCTGCCGTACACTGGCGCCACCGGGCCCTCTGACCACTATCAGTTGACAATGCAGGTGAAGTGTCTTGCCCAAGGACACAACGACAATGAAAGTCGGAGTCGGGGCTTAAACCGTCAACCCTTCGATTTCAGGTCAAACTCCTACATCCAACGCCACTGTCACCCAGTTATGGGTTTAATAGCTATATGGTTATTATTTGTGCCTTAACTTTGTGTAACTCAAAACATAAGTTTTTAAATATAAGAATAAGGAGTGAAAAAATGTAATTGTTTCCCATTATCTTTAATTTAAGGAATTTTTATACTTTTCCAAAGTATTTCATGGAATTCCCTTTATAGAGTAAATTATATGACAAAATTTTGTGTGCATTCTTCCAAAAGGTTCCCATTTTAGTTTGTGAAATGTAGGCCTCTTCCTCTAAGTAAAACTGGTCAATACTCATATGTGGGTATGATTGATTAATTGAGTGATTGATCGCTTTATTGACTTTATTGATCTCAGAGTGGAAAAATTTACTTGTTACATCAGCTCGAATACTCAAAGAAGAAGAACGTGCCAAAGGAAGAAAAAGTTGCATTGGATATATACAGTATATACAGTGCATCCCCATATGACAACCTTTTATAGAAAAGGAGAACCCTAAGATTTGCTCCATCTGAAAATCTGAAGAACACTAAAAGAGAGCACTTCTATCAATGTGAGTGAGTGAGTGAGTGAGTGAGTGAGTGAGTGAGTGAGTGAGTGAGTGAGTGAGTGAGTGAGTGAGTGAGTGAGTGAGTGAGTGAGTGAGTGAGTGAGTGAGTGAGTGAGTGAGTGAGTGAGTGAGTGAGTGTAGTGTCAAGTCCTCGGGCTTGGAAAAGGTTCTGTATAATTACAGATCACTTTGCTTTTTTTGTAGATAATGTTTTTTTCTCTTATCTATTTTGTGATGAACACTAGCCCATCTTGCATTCAGTCTTGCAGCAAAATGCTCACACCAAAATTTTTCTGCCACACCAATGATTTTTAGTAGCTTTTGTTTGTACAGAAGATGCTTCATTGTGGGTAATGATATAACACCAGCTTCAGCTAGCATTGTCTGTTTTTTTCTAAACTGGAAAACATTTTCATCTCCTACCTCAACAGTAGAATGTTTATAGAATGATTGATTAAACAAATGTGGAACATTGAGGCTTCATTAAAATTCTACCCAAGGATAAAACCAGACTTCTGGAGTTCAACAATTCTCTCCCTATAACATGTTGGTTGTTAATCCCCTAAAGTCAAGGAAGTAGAGTATGTGAGGTTCTAACTTAAAATATATTAACATGTGTCCTTTTATATCACTAAAATTAACCCTCAAATTCATCATTGGGGCTATCAAAAACAGTTTTAAAGATGTAGGGCTCCCCATACATACAACTTTTTATTTTAAAGTAATTAAAAAAGGAAACCTCCTTTTCTTTATTCCTAAATTTAGGTGATAGAAATACATTTGGTAATCATTGCTCATATGATGGAGATTTAAAAAAAATCTGATTTAATAAAAGACACTGACCATTCTGCATGCTTTTTTGCTTCATAAAAGTTTTTTAGACAGAATATATGCAAAAAATGTCACTTATCATGCATAACACATCATGACGTTTAAACAAACATTTAAAATAAGTATAAAAAAATACTGGCCAAAGATACCAATTCTGCAGGTTTGAGAAAGAAATCTAAATAAGTAAATATAAAGTGATTAAATAACTCACATATGAAAGAGCCAAGCAGATGTGTAGAGAATCATGACGTTTCTATTTCCATAGTTACCTTAATAATCACTGTTGTCATTGAATTTGTTGATGAGATTGTATCTGCGGGAGAAGTACAGCACAGTGGATGTTTTGTTGAAAGACCAATAGGAGTAAAGGAGGCACGATGTGTTTAGCATGGAAAGAAAGGAGCCTCTTATGTTTAATGATTAAAAAGACAAAACAGACTCTTCCTCTTCATACTCCAAAGGAGAGAAATAAAACATATAAAATGTTTTTTTATTCTATCAATGATCAATGTTGCATATATTTTGCATAATTTGCCACACAAAGCAGGATGCACGGTTCTTGCTGTCTTGCAACAAGAAGGCTCTGGGTTCGATTCTTGGCCCAGGGTCTTTAGCATGGAGTTTGCATGTTCTCCTTGGGTTCTCTCCAGGTACTCCGGATTCCTCCCACAGTCCAGAAACATGACTGTTAGGTTAATTTGCCTCTCTATATTGTCGTTAGGCGTGTGTGAATGGTTTTGTGTCTTTGTTTGTGTCTGTGTTGCCCTGCGACAGACTGATACACTGACCACACTGTGACAGGACTACAGTAAGTGGAAGAAAATAGATGGAAGGATGCCACACAAAGAAATACATGTCATTATTTTTTTTTTTTTCTAAGCTGCTAAAGAGCTTTGAACTGAAGCCAGTTAGAATTTTACACAATAGAAATTAAGAGGGTTGGCTGCGAGTCAGAAGTCTGTCTTTGTTTTCGTCTTGTTTTCTCTCAGTCAGTCAGCAGAGAGATGCTGTGATAGACTCATCACTAGGGGTGGGTATTGGCAAAGAAGTCACGATTCGATTCGAATCACGATTCACATGCCACGATGCGATTCTATCACGATGCATCACGATACTTGAAATACTGCGATGCATTGCAATATTTTCACTGAACACTGTAGTAAAAGGATACAGCCCTTACCAGTGGCTGACTGGCTGGGTATGATCTGGATAGTGTCTTCAATTGATACATAACTGAAAGCAACCGAATTCATACATAGCTGTATTTATTGAAATGACTTTTGGAGGTGTTGCCATGAAAACAAATACTGGACAGAAATATTACTATTACCGGCGTGGACACACTGACAAAAAGATCTTAGGATTCATCAAACTTAAAATAACAAAATAAGGATAATCAGTGCCGTTTACATGGCCTCAGTGGTCCTTCAAACCAATGAAACGAAAACATTAAAATGTTTCAACTTGAAAACTGAAATGATAAAAAAAAAAAAAAAAAAAAAAAATTTTTTTTTTTTTTTTTTTTTTTATAATCGATTCTTGCCTTCAAGAATCGATGCAGTAGATCACAACAATTAGAATCGCGATGCATCGATATGACGATTATTTTGCACACCCCTACTCATCACTGCTGTAAAATCTTTTTATTGGCTCTTTTCCTCATTCTGTACCACAGACGGGCTGCACACACACAAAACAATCTGCAAATCAAGGATGGTAATACCAGACTTTGTTTTTCTTGACCAAATATTTTTTTGTTTTTCCATTTTGTAAAAAAAAAAAAAACACAAATTGTTTCAAGATTTCATTTAATGTCATGTGATTCTAACAAGTTGAACAAGTTAGATCGAACTCAGAGAAGGATTTTTTTGAGAGTTTGGAAAAGGAGAGAACTGTGGACAAACCAATAACTGAAAAAGTGGGGCATACACAAGATCTCAGTCCGACATTTACTGTTTTTCTAGTAGAGTGGTTTTCAAACCTGTTCCTCTATTACCGGTACCACTGTCCTGCCTGTATAAACCGTCTCTCTGTTGCAGTACACCTGATTCAAATGATTAAATGAATCTAAGCAGCCATCGAGTGCTTCAGAAGGCTGATTCATTTAAGTTAGGTGTGTGGCATCAAAAAGACAGTTAAAACACACAGCGCAGCGGTACTTGAACAAGGCAAAATGGTTTTCTCTTTTCCATTTGGATGCACAGCAGAGCTCCATCTGTGAAGAGAATGCACTAAAGCAGGGATTTAGTGCCAAAGCAGTCATACTTTTTTGTTGTGGTTACTAATTGTTGCTTTTTTCCCTGTTTCACTGCGTCCAAAACTAAATTGACTGTTTGCTTTGTGACAGAAATAGATGAAGATCGGCTCCCAAACCAGTTGTATAAGGTAATTCAATCATGCTCTCTAAAAGCCAATTTTACTGCAATGCAACTATAAAAAAAAATCCCATGATCTGTTTTCTTTTTGTTATATTGAATTTCACCACTATTGGTTTGCTTTCTGCTTCCTTAGTTTATACATAATGTTGATATTTTCCAGGCTGCCTTGTTGAATTCCCCTCGACAACGAAGAAAAGGACAAAAGGGGACACCAACAATGAAAGGTGGGCTGCTGTTAACCTTTTCTCTATTCAATTTTTTTTTTATCCAATAATTTTTGGTCATAATAAAGAAAATGTTTTTTTTCCATTTTGAGAGAGATTAAAAATGTCAATTCTCTAAAACAGAAGTTTCCTATATATTTTTAAATATATAGAATATAAGGGAGCAGAGAGAGTCAAAGTACAATCGATTTTAATTAACTCTGTAATGAAAAAAGAATAGCCATTTTATAGCATCATTTTAAACATTGACTGTTTTTATTATTTCTCTAATATTCTATAATAAAACCATATTATAGTGTGGGTTAAAACTGTTACATTATGACATGAAAAAAATAAAAAAGGAAATTATATATTTTTCAATATTTTAATGTTTTTTTTTTTTTTTTTACTTTTAATATTGTAAGTATTTAATTGAATGTCAGCAGTTTATAGCTGTTTAACACACAATAAGTTTAGCTTCTTGGATTTCTTCTGTATCATGTTTGGTAGGCATTAACCGCTCTTTTCTCATGTTAATGTCTCTTTTATTACCTCCCTCTTCCAAGAGCTGCAGTTTCTAGTAGAACATCACCTTTACCGACAGCAACAGGGAGCAGGAGACGAATGTTCCTCAGAGAGCTGTTTGTCTGACCGGCCCAGTCCTGACTCTGTTCCTACTGGGGAGGAACTCCCACATGATGACGAGGCTACTACAGAGGCCTTTGAAAAATTACGCTTCCAAATGGAAGGTAAGATATATAGTAGCAGCCATTCAAAATGGCCATTCCATTGGATAGAAATGTAGATGAGCTTTTTAATTGGAAGCCCAATCACAAATTAAAAAACAGTGGATATCTTTTAAGGAATATTTAGACATATTCTTTTTTTCTTGCTTTTCTCCGTCCACCCCTCTAAGATTGCTGCTGTGTAATTGATTATTGTTCAGTAAACAAATGAAGAGAGCTGTATCTTTGAGGTTTGCAGTTAAGCCAAACTTTTTCTTTGTCAGTTAAAATAATACAAACTTCTTAACATGAAGTTAATGGTCAAACAAGCAACATTTTCAACAAGACATGAGCAGAACAGGACATGTAGCATGGGAAGAAAAACTGGGAGAGTAAATTTATAGTGTCACAGGAATGTAAGGATCTACAGTGAACAAAGAGAATCAGTGAGATTATATACTCAGCCAGGGTTGGAAAGTGACAAATAAAACATGGGATAAAATTTTAAAAGACATATGGGGCAACTGCATCAGACCAAAGATAGAACAGCTTAGGGAGGGAGGGAATCTAATAAATGCAGAGAAAGCTAAAGTAAGAAACACACCTTTAAGAGGAAATTACAACTCTTAACTGAATGTAAATCAGAATGCACCCAGAACAAAACACACCAAATTTAAACTTGCCACAAAGGCATCAACTAATATGATCTCATTTAGCCATTAAAATGTACTTGTAATTCAAATATTGAAATGAAAAAGACTATATGCCAACATGCTATCCGCAAAGTTACTTATCAACACTGATTTCTTCTCTTTAAACTCTGTGTGATAACAAATACACTCCTTACACAGTAAAACTAAAAGGTTTGCAGATAATAGGCAAAACTTTTTTTTACTTTTAATGAAGAAATAAACTAGCTGTAGCAAACAATAAACTGTAACGGTAGAGCATACACCTCAGCAGTTGCCCTTGACTAATGAGTTCAGAGTGCATTGGGTTTATTTTTTTTAAACAGCAATACTGTTCCACGGTGTGATGGTTTAAATTTCAATTCACTACAAAGTGTGGTGTGCAGCATAAAATGCTGCTGTACAAGAGTAAAAAATTATCATGTTCTTTTGAAAGGTTCTCTATGGAGGTTCAAATTAAGTTCATCATACTAGATGAAAGACAGAAAAAGGAAGCTGGGGAAAGCAAATCAATGTCCATTAACACCAGTCCTGTAGAGTATAGATCCTCTCAAAGATAAGAGGTTTGATTTTGTTCTGAGGGGTAAATAACCCTCAACTGTAAATGTCATTTGGCATTTATTAATAAAAGCTGAAGCAGCTTTATTTACCAACACTTGTTCCATCTTTAGTACGTTGAGTTTTTATCAGGGAGTGTGCGTTCTCTCTGGTCAACTTTTATTTGTCTCTCTACTCCCTGCAGAGTTCTCCAGGGAGAGTCTATTAGATGCTGGCGGTGAACTTGAGTGCCCCCTCTCTAAGGAGAAAAACGATTGTTCCAGTGCAGCCAGCATAGCTGATCCCTTGTCCCAAAAAAAAACTGCACGAAAAGGTAGACAAGGATAAGTTACACACAAATATTTCCCACCCTTATCTACTTTTTCTTTTCCATTTAAAGCAATTTTCTTTTTCGTTTAACTAAGTACACAGGGTTTGTTTATGCCTAGTAGGTAAACAAGATTTGGTTGGTTTCATATAACCATAGCTAGTCATTAAACAAATGCAAGTGGCTTTGATGGCACTTCATGGCTTGCATATCCTGGTATCCAGATGCTGTAGGCATGTAGCTGGGTCTTGAGAGCTTGAAGATGCTAATGTCTAAACTGTTCTGTTCTACAGCAGAATATTTTTTAAATTACCTCTTCTTGGCTCTGCAAAAAACTGTAGATTTAAACCTTGAAATAATAAACCACATAAAATATTGAATGCTGCTTTACAGAGCTGGCGCAAAGTAGGGTTTTTTGCATTTGGATAGACACAGTCCTTAAACAGTCTGTATGAGTGAATAATTATTATTAAATATTCGGTGGCTTGGGAAAACCATCATGAGAACTGTTGTCAGAAAAAAGATTTATAGCTTTTGTATGATATCTGATAAGGTTGCAAATCAGCATAAATCAAGCAACTCTGCTATCATTTAGATCCACTAACAAATGTTCATCAAGTTAGCCAGTTAATTATGCTTTAATCAAACTAACGAGAAAGCAAGTAAATATCAAATTATTTATTTCTGCTGGTGAATTATTTTTTTTATCTTTTATGCTTTTGTTTTTGCTTAGCTTGTTTATTAAAATGTTTACAATAACTTTGAAGGTATGATACTGCCTGTGTGCACAGGGGATAAACAAGGTAGTAATGTGGCCAAGCCAGCCTGCAACTAACAAAATATTAGCTTTGTCTTGGCTTGAATACTGGGTCCTCTGTTCTAAGCCATGACGTTTACCTTCCTGTTATTGAACACCAGCATACTGTATTGTGAGTGATATTAGAGACTTATCTCTTTTGGAATCAATACTCTTTTGTACTTTTTCACAATGGATCTTGGTCTTTTTCTCATTATTTTCTTAATTCAGCTGGCCGCTGCTAACTGGCTTAGCCACATTATATCCTTGTTTCCCCTGCAAACATGTGCAGTATTGTACTGCATTAAGCAAAAGGAAAGCTTAAAAAAACAAGTAATATGCCAGCAGCATGCAAAAAACCTTTTAGAAGAACTTTGTAACCAACTACAGAACTAAAGCTGAATGCATTTTAAAAACTTATATAACATGACTATGCACCTTTGACATGTTTATATGAACAAAAAGATGCAAACATTTGTTCTCTAAAAGACATTAAAGTGTGTGACATGTGTTTTATCGTATTGAGTATGTTTGCATTTTTCATGAAATGTTCTGAAAACCAATAAAACTCAGAGCACACTCTGTATCTACTCTAACTATTTATGCATGTCTGTATTTTCAGACACAGAAGCAGGAGCTTCCAGTGAAAATCAGCCATCAGAGAAGAATACGAAGAAAGGCAGCCTGGAGACAAAGAAATAAAGACGTCTGTGCAGCCAAGTGTTGTCTAGTCTGCTCAGTCAGCCCAACAGAGTGACAAAGGATTTTTAGTGCAGTTCCGGAAGCATCAGAATATTTCTATCCCTCTACAGCTGGGCCTTAGTTACCACCTTGAGAACAAGACAAAATATTTCTACATTTATTTCGGAAAAATAAATAGTTTAGAAAACAATAATTAAACATAATTTGTTATAATGTTTAATTCATCAAACTAACTATCTGTGAGTATAAATCTGTGATTTATGCTTCAGTAACAAAATCATAGTGATGCTTAATACCTTATATTCCCTGTATTGATTGGGAAAAAACAGACATGGCCTCTTATATATTTTTACACATGTTTTATTCATTTCAAATCAGTAAAATGGATCATTACATCATAAACAACTAAAACTAATGAAATGGTTTCAGTTTAAACCCTGATTACAAACATAATCCCAAACTGTACAATTAGTATGTCTCATTTGTGAAGAGTAAAAATAGTTTTGAATGCGTATAATGATTACATTTGCCACATTTCATAATAATAACCCTTAAATTTTTCAGTTTGATAACTGTCTAAATACTCTAAGCTATGATATTTGTTTTGTCATCAATAACCTTAAAATTATACAAAAATTAAATAACTTATTTTCAAATAAGTGTATCACAATTTTTTGTTAAACTTTCACCAACATAACAAGTGTCTTAACATACTGTACATTTCCTTTTCCAAAAGTGTTTCAAGTAAGTTATTTAATACATACCACTTCAGTGATTGTCTAGCACTGAAAGTAAATGCTTCTGAAAATAAATTACAAAAAAATTACCAAAATACCTGAATGGTTTTGGTCACCAGAGTGCACTAGCCACTATTTCAAACCTGGTGTATCACACTTTATGTGCAGGAATTACTTTTACAATCTCATTTTATTTAAACTTAATTTGAAGATTTTTTAATGTGCAATAAATGATTATCATATAGCACAATATACCTAACAAGTATGAGGTTTTTATTTAATGGTATGATTGGTTTTACCTTTAAGTGCTATGGAAAATATTGACTTCTTTTGCAAACATATACCTAATGACAGACAGGAAAACATTTTCATTTTGTATTGATTTTGTATCGCATTATTTTTCTTCACTCTTGTAAACCATTTTATGGACACAATCACTTAATTTATTATTAATGTTTAATCATACTGCTTATTTTTATTTTTTTTTACCCAGAACCTCTCATCTAATTGCTAGATTATTTTCTGATTATTTGCCAGAAATTGTAAAAACGTTATGTTCCACTATTAGACTAATATTACTTTATATCAATTAAGCTGATATATTAAAATGCTACTCCAAACGATCACTATTTAGCTTATTTTGCATTTTGTTAAAAGTTTCACTGTGCTTCGGGTAGTTATCCCTTACACAGTGAGCTGTTTTTGCTTTCTCTCCTTCTCCATCTCTATGATAATGATCCCAGTATGAGACTGAGATCATGAGCTGGGATTTAATCTATACCTCTCCAAAATTACAGTGTCTGTAGGAGTAAAAATAATGAGTGTAATGGCTCTTATTACAGCCTCACAGAGAGATGGTCAGCAGTTTGACTCTTGGCTCTGCAGACTCTTCCTCTAAAGCAAAATGGAAACTACTTTAATGTTTAGTTTCAAATTAAACACCTAAGTTGTAAATGTATTTTTATGTCCATGTTATTTCATCGATAGAGTGAAATATTTGCTGACAGGCAACTGTGAAATTTTGGTTAGACTCCTCAATTTACCAAGTCCCCAAAATATTTTCATTTTTGAGCTGGGTGACAATTTCATAATTGTATGGCTTCACTGTATAGAGATAGTTATATGTTGTTACACCCTATTGAGAGCATTTAGACCACGAGGCTGTAAATGTGCGGCTGACAAGCAGAGTTCATTACTTTGGGATTTATCTACGAATGAGTTTACAGTTTTGGATTAGCAAGGAAAAAATTCTCCACTAAGCAAATTGAGCTGTCATTTTTAACACATCCATATATATTGGGAGTTTTATAACAAATATCTTTCTGCATGGCTCTGAATGTAAAGTGTTGACGTTTTTAGGTATGAATTTGGGATATTTCCTTGGCTTTATTTTGTACTACAACCTGACCCTTAAAATTTGGACACACATCAAAATGTATGTATTTTCTGTAATATATTCTAGTTTTCTATGTGCAAAAGAAACCATGATTTGTTCACCATTTTTTTAAGTATTCTCATTACACTCTGAAGAGTTTATTTCACTGCAATCACTGCAATTATGTGATAATTCTTCCATAACCACATTATTTTTACCATGATTGAAAGAAACTAAAGAACAGAAATGAAACAGAACCACTTAACTGAACAATCGCAATAATGGTATCTATCCACAACAAACACTGAAAGATAGTAAAACATTCTTGTAAAGGCTTTTATTTTTCGGTATCAGCAATTATAAACCCTCTAATATTTGTTATGTTTTGAAATGGTCACAGTATACTTAAAATTTGTTATATTTGGAAGTTGTTTTTTCTTGTTGACTTGAATGAATAGATGATTGTGTGCGTTTAATTTGTTTTATACAATAAAACGTTTAAGTTGATGAAGGGTAATGTTTCTTTCACTCTAATCCAGGAAACTCACCCTAAATCACTTTCTAAATGTTTGAAGAGTAAGCCCGACAGCCTGTTTGTCAGCATAAAGTCAAGATAAATGTCCAGGCAGAGTGAGTTGAGATCTGCTCTTTTATTCAAATGTGAAACACCCGAGTGTTTAAGCTTAGCATTGCACCAGATGCAATGTTTTTAGTTGGGGTAAATTTTGACTTGACCCTAAAAATAGGCCGTTTGGTTTAAATAATTGATTTACACTCAGACCTAAGTGCACAAAATCACATATATCTTTCATGAAGAAGGCAGGATTTGTAACACTGCAGCATTTTATGCTATAAGTGATACCCCTGCGGACAAATATAAATGCTTCATCTAATAATAATATCCCACATCATATAGACGTATGTTGTGTATCTAGATAAAGTAGGTCATAATGTGTTATCTTTGTATTAGAAAATAAGAATAATGTTTAAAATTGACAAGACTTAATGCTGATGAAGATTCTCAGTCATCCAGGTCATAGTCATTCCGTAGAAATTCAAAAAATATCCACTTTACTTGGTTTCCAAGATTTGAAGACGTTTCGCCACCTCTCCAGGAAGCTTTCTCAATTCAAATGTCTGGATCCGCAGTGAGTTTGAGTCTTACATAGACAAAGCCTTGTATCGCTTGGAAACATGCAAATGGTAACCGATGAATGGGTCGACCCATTCATCGGTTACCATTTGCATGTTTGTATACAGAGCTTTGCACTTTGAAGCATAATGGCGCTCTAAATGCCTACCTAATCGGAAAAAAACTCTATTGCTGTATAAAATGACCCTTAATAGAACAAGGGAAATATTTTTTCCACAGATGAAAGTTGAGAAATGCATTTGCTACTTTGAGGCTTGACTCATGTAATTCTTTACTATTTGGAAGTCCACAAACTGTAGTTAAAAGCGTTTGGCTGATCCAAAATGGTGCAGCCAGAGTTCTGTTTAAAATTGAAAAGGGAGATTATATTTCTCCTACCTAAACTTTCCTTAATTGTCTCCCTGTTAGATTAATAATAGAATTAAAAATCCTCCTTCTCTCATACATAGCACCATATAAGCAAGCGCCAGTTTATATCAGAGCACTAACTGTTTCATATGCTCTCAGCATAGCGCTTTGCTTTCAATCTGCAGGTTTACTAGTGCTTCGTACAGTACAATATGTAAAACTAGAATGGAAGGCAGGTTCTTTTTGTCATCAAGGTCCTCTCCTGTGGAACCAACCACCAGTTTGTATTATCCAAGCAGACACCCAGTCAACTTTTAGGACAAGGCTTAAAACTTTCTTTTGAAAAGGCTTATAATTGAAAAAAGACTTTTGTTTGCTTAGTCACTAGGTGAGCTGAGAAGTAGGAGGAGGTAGAGGGAAGACCTGATCTGGCAGGGAAGAATTCTATTCAGACAGAGGGTTTATCCTTTGCTCTACCTTTGTTATAACTCAGTGAAAATAATGAGATTATTATGAGCATTTTCTACATTTATGCTGCTATAGCTTTAGGCTGCTGGAGGACATAGAGACCGTTATGCTTCATTGTATCTCTTTTCTTCGCTTTTGTAGAATTTTTTTTGTTCAACCCAAAACTTTATGTTCTCTCTACTTTTATAGCAACTTTGTCTTATTTGTTCCTGTATGGCTTTGACTCCATCCTGTAGAGAAATATTAGCTGTGTGCTGCCATCCACACCTATCGATATTGTACATTTTCAACATGGCCATCTATAATCTTGTTTTGGCTTAGGTATGTTTGTTTTGTTTTGGCTTAGGTATAGTGAAGGATTTTTTGAAAAGATCCGCCCTCTCCAGTAAAAAAAAAAAAAAAATATGTATAAAAAATTTTAATTATAATAAAGCAATTTATATGCATGATACAAGCGGAACACTATGGCAATAGCTCTACTGCTCCACTTGTGAAAGTAAAATCTGTTGGGCTCTTGTTGGCACCAAGACAATTCTTATTGCCACATTGCCAAACAGGACACTGTTAAAAAAAAAGAAAAAACGCACATGCTTAACCCTGTTCCCGCTCCTGTGAGGGAACAAAAGGGACAAGTGCGCTTGTATTGTTGTCTATTTAAACCTAAACACTCTTCATAGATGGCTGCAATTAGAGGTTTCTTCCTGTTAAAAGAGATTCAGTATTCAATTGTTGTAGTATGCTTGTTTGTAGGAGGGACTATTACAAAGTTGGGAACTCAACTAATCAGCTGGGTTGTCTTACTGTAGATGGAAAATGTCTATTTTTTTTTACAATAATCAGCTGAACTCAACTATATTTTCTCATAAGATGTAAAATAGAATACAAAGTTAGATTAAAAATAATTCATACTATAGACATACTTTAGTGTTTTAGCGTTCCCTTTCTAAATGTGCCAAATTGGTTCATTTTATAAATGATTTAGCCAGAGTACCAAAATTAATCAAAGAGCATCAAGTTCATGCTGCAACCCTGTCAATTTTCAGTAAGTGTATATAATATAGAAACAATACAAACCACAGGACTAGTGTCAAAATCTAGGACATTGGACTCGTGTCTTTTTTTGTTTTCACTTTCTTTTTGCTTTTCTGTATTCTCCTCCAGATGGCATCAGTGAGAGCATTGTGGCTGGGTGGAGCAGCAGGTGTTTCACATCTAACATAATCAGGAGTGGTGTTTAAAAGAAGCCTGCTGCCTGTCCATTTTTGCATGTGTGCTAAATTCTTGCCCTCCAATGTGAGCCTTGTTTCGTTAATGAGAGAGTTACTCATTGGTACTTTTGTTCCCAGCTTTTTTTCCCTAAGAGTTCTGGATTCTGTTCCAGCTCCTCCTGATTCATGTTTCTCCTAGAAACATTTAGAAGCTGTTGGATTTGAAATCCCTTCCTGGAATCTTTGTGTTCTCCACTTTTTTGCCACCGTGGTGGTTGTTTCCGGCTCCTACCCACCCTCCAACATGGACCTTCAGTTAATAATTTTAAGACACCCAAGCTCAGTCCTATGAGCTTATAACTTTCACTCCACTACATTTCAAAATCAAATGTACTTTCTTCTCCACTACATTTTGTGGAAGCTGTTAGTTACTTGGTTCTTTTGGCTTAGCTTAGCTTTGTAATCTGCTGTTGCTGTTTTTCTTTCTTGAAATGCAATTTCAACATGTAAGATAGCAGCCCTTAAAACTGAATTTAGACACCACTCTTTAAGAGATTTAATGAAATTTCAAAATTGTAAGGAACTCAGGGCAGTTATATGTAGTTTATACATTTTACTAAGGCCTTAATTGTAGCTATGTGGCCAAGTTCAGCAGAATGAGTTCTTAAAGCTGAGTTGTAGTTTCTTTTTGGTAATAGATTCAACCTTAAACCTCTATTCCATAGTGAAAGTGTGAGGAGAATCCATCCATCCATCCATCCATTTTCTTACACGCTTAATCCCAAGTGAGGTTGTGAGGGGTGCTGGTGCCTATCTCCAGCTGTCTAAGGGGCGAGAGTACATCCTGGCGGGGAACATCCTGGACAGGTCGCCAGTCCATCGCAGGGCAACATAGAGACAAACAGGACAAACAGCCATTCATGCACACACTCACACCTAAGGAGAATTTAGAGAAGCCAATTAACCTAACAGTCATGTTTTTGGACTGTGGAAGGAAGCCGGTGTGTCAGGAGAATCAAGACACTTATATTTTCTTTTTGGTTTTTTATTGAATAAAAATAATAATCAAAATAGCTTTGATATTTTTGTAGCATTTTTATGCTGAAATTCTTTACAGGTGGTGTAGAATTTGTATTAGAGTGGTTCTATGCATCAATACATCTGGTGGTTTCTTAAAGTTACAAGGTTCTTTAAAATTACGTACTCTGAAAATTAAACAGAAATGTTCTGATGTAAATTTTATTTCGTTATTTTTGCATACTTAAGTACTTTTAAAAGCATGTCAGTTTGAGTGTTGAAGTAATTTCAAAGGTCAGTACTTCAGTACTTGTGTAGATGATTGACCAAGTAACTTTTACTAGTAGTAGAGATTTCCCTGAGTATTAATAGTTTTACTCTATTACTACTGTTGACTACTTTTGCCAACATTGCTTAGTCTCCCTGTATACTGTATGAACCATTATATTCTTAATTCTGACAGTTCCTTTTCTTTTCCTAACCTACCGTCTTACTTCAGAACAACTGCTGCACACCAATCCAGGTTCTGGAGCCCTGGATTCTCTTCATATCATTCCCCATATTTTCACAAAAATCTTAACTTTTTTAAATTTTTATTTATTTCTGTATCCTGAGAGTGTTCTGCATGTGGGTTAAAATTGTCCCTAAAACCATAAAATTTTGTTCATGAACATAGATTTAAAAAGGCAGTTTCTAAAGTACCAGATTAATAGTGTGCCATTCTCAGATTACGCTTCTTACAGCGCAGACTGTTTCTAACCCCCTCTGTAAAGTTAAGTGCCATCTAAGATTTAAACGCTATAAATAAATAAGCTAAATGCCAGATTGTTATATGGGGTGTACATTTTATTGTGACTGTCACCATGCATTTTGAAATTAAAATAGGGAGTCCCAACTACATTTAACTTCCTTCTTTCATAACACTGTAAAATGATAAACAGGTGAAACTGCTGAGCTCTGCATAATTCCTTACAAACAACTAAATTCCTTTAAATAACTCTCAGAAACCAAAGATTAAGTTTGTTTTAAAGTTTAATGCAGGTTAATATGTTTATGTAGTTCATTCTTTACAACTGGAAAAAAAAAGCTTCTGTTGTGGCAACTTAAGTTAAAACCGTTTACTACTCAATGACATGACCAGCATGTCCCCATTTAAATTACTGTATTATGCAATTCTTAAAATAAGACATAATTATCTCATTGCTATTGCACATCATCTTTTGAAGATGATCTTAAGTCTATTCCCAGCCTCAGTTGAACTGTGTGTAGATCATTGAAAACAGACCAGTATCCCCAAAAAGTCCCTTCTACTGTTTTGTTTTTTCAGTGGTTTCTTGCAGAGATTTTTCGGACCGCTCCGCCTGCCTGGATCGTTGTTCTTTTGTAACACTGGAGTCTGAAAATCCTAAAGGGAATATAAAAGGTTGGACAAGGCATTGGAAAATTTTGATAAGCTCTAAGTAAAACAACATATCCGTATCTGTTAATCTGAAAACAAGAACAATATGAAATAAATTTAGACATTAAATCAAATCATAGTCAAGAATCTTGAACTCTGGCAAGATTGTAAGATGTGTTAGCAGCAGTTCCTTTATCATACTTAGGTACGAGTGATGAAACTTTAATTTAAATGTTTCTTAAATATCAGAATAAATTGTGTCTAAGTCAAACAGCTTTGAATTCATACCAATAGCGTCTTGTTTTCTTTTTGAGAAATGTGTGCTTTTAAACTTTGAAGCCAAACCAATACAACATGTGCAACCTACCATTCGAGCCGCTCTCTTTCCATTTGAGCTTGTTGTCCTCTGTGTGTCTCGTCCAAGTAGAGCGAAAACTCACCAGCTCAGCAGTGATGTGTGCAAGACTCCACTGCAGACCTCTGGAGCTCTCTTTCCAAAGATTGCTGTGATCAAATGACAAGTCATTTACATTCTCATTGATGCTCATGCTAACTTTAAATGAATCCCAAATGCTTCATTGATCCAGACTTCTTATGTAGAGCCAACAGGACTAGACCAATTATAATCTAATGTGGTTGATTTGTAGCCCTACTTTATGTTAAACATTTTTCCTCTAAACAAAAAAAGGATCCTTAGATGAACAAGATTTGAATTATTTTTGCTTTGAAAAGCCATTTGCTTTAAATATGTTCTTAGGAAGTGTATTTAAAGGTCAATCAGTGACATCTGTCATCTAAAAGTGGCACATGAAATGCATTCAACTTATTTGCATTCAAAGTGACATTTAATGTTGGAAAACTATTACGAAAGAAATTACATTTATTTTTCCTGTTATTATGAACATAAATACCATTTGTCCTCCATGGTCTACTAGACATTTTGGAAAAGTTGTTGGTCAGTTTTTGTCACAATTTCATATTAAATATATAATATAACAATTCAATTTTTTTATTTCCTTTTGTATCAAATTTACATGCTGCCATATTCCGTTTAGTTCTGAGCATATAAATCTAGACCAAGATTACTTCTGGTGTCTCACACAGTTCTGTTTTGCAGCTCTGGTTCCTTGCCTTGTATCTATTGTAATTTGTCGACGAGGCAGCCTATGTTATTGTTAAGGAGACTAAGGTGTACATTTTTCAGCTGAGGAAGAGACGGGGAGATTCACCTCCCTGCTTGCTGTCTGTGTATTATGAATGTGTATTATTACAAAGAAGAATCTTTGTGGTCAAAGCAAGACAACATTCTATTTGTTGCTGACAGCTGAGTATGTACAGATAGAAAAATAACCTCTAAAATATAAGGTTTTGAGCTTTCACTTTCATTAGTTGAGCTCAAATAATGCACTAGGCTCTGTTGAAGTCTTTGTGGCACAATATAGTTCAATGATCTCTAAAATGTAATTAAGTAGCTATGTTAAAAATGCTTGCAGTTTCTTTTTAAAAGCATGAAAATGTATGCTTACTCTCCTAGAATTAAGTTAAGTTTGGTCAAACAAGTCAATGTACATATCTCAATAAAAATGTAAAAAAAAATGTCAAAGCTTCCCTATAATGTATCCAAAAGGATTTAGTATCTGTTATGTTGCATGTTGTGTTTATTAGGCATCAAGTAGAGCCCGTTCAATCTCAATTTGAATGCAGAGTTTAATTACAAAAAGCTTTGGAAAACTTTTTGTTTTTAATTAATCTTTATATCAGAACATTAATAAAAGCAATTTCTTCCTCTGTTATGTAAAAAAAGTATCAGCATGGCCAGAGGCTCAGGAAACTGAGCTATTGACATACATTTTATGCCATATGTTGTGAACAAATCAAGTATTCCAATTTTACAAAAGGAGAAACTATGAGAAATTATGAGTAATGAAATATATTACTACAGTCAATATGTGTTGAAATAAGAGGAAAACAATCTAAAAAGGGCACAGAAAGTAAACAGAATAGTTAAAATGAATTTGTAGAAAGCGATCATGCTTATTATCAGGGTTAATTGACATCAGCTGGTTTAATCATTATGAAGACTGTTGGTACCATAATTGGGAAGTGAATAGAGTAATATTTCACCACAGAACAAGCAGATATTGGTGTTTATCTACTATTTGTCTAATTTAGATGTAATTTAGCTATGCCTTACATTGATCATTTGTTTTTTTTTTACATTTTGAATTGCTGGATCTAAGTCCTATGTGAAAACATCCCATGTTTTTAAAAAAAAACATAAAAATACGATAGCTTTTGTCAATACTATAATTTATGTTTGTATCACTCTTGGTGTAGAAGCTTGGAGGTCCTGTTTTTTGTCACCTGTGTCTGTTGCAGGGGTCTGGGGGACCTGGGTTCTCCTCCACCAAGGGAATAACGATTTTTTCTGCTATGTCCGTCAACAAGGAAAATGTAGGATACACAATGAAGTCAATGAAACCTGCAATGACAAATTCTATCATATGTTATTGCCCTACTTACTGTACGTTACATTACAATGTATATCTCTTTAACCTACAAACTTTGTCAATATATAGTAGCTTTATGGTGGGACAGTTGTTAGCACTGTTGCCTTGCAACAGGAAGGTCCTGGGTTCGATTATTGACCTGGGGTCTTCCTGCATGGAGTTTGCATGTTGTACATGCATGGGTTCTTCCGACAGTCCAAAAACATGACTGCTGGGTTAATAGGCATCTCTAAACTGTCACTAGGTGTCTTCGTGTGGTTGTCTGTCTTTGTGTTGCTTTCCGATGATCTGGAAACCTTAGATGAGGTGGAATAGAAATAAATATGGTTTTCAAAAAAGTCAAGTTGTTTCTAGAAATGATAATGTTTCATATCCTACTTTCAAATGGTTTAAACTCAGTCATAACTATTAATGAAAGTTTCTGTAATAAGGTCGTTTCTACATTTTGCCACAGGTTTTTAAATTGCATTTAGCTCTGGCCCTTTACAGGGCCATTCTAACTGATGCGTGTGATTAAATCTAAACCATCACATTGCAGCTCTGTCTGCAGGGTTGTGCTGCTTAAACACAAATGTAAACCTCAGAGTCAGCTCGCTGCATTGCAGACATCATCCTGTCTTTAACTTCATTAATTTTCCCACAGTTTCTGACCTGGTTCACCTTTCCCTGTCAAAGAAAAAAATGCTGCTAGTCATGTCCTACTGCCCTTGCAGTTGCGTCACACCCATTTTCTTTAAGTTTGTAACTCGGAAATGTTCAAAAGTGAGACTGTTGTACGAAGTAAACTTGGTTTAACCCCTCCACACATACACCCACACACACTTTTTTATGTCTGAGGTGTCTGTTGTGCCCCTTGCTTCTCATGATGCTGTTTGTTAATTAATATTTCATAACAAACTTTTATAACAAACTTTAAAGCCCTACAAAGAACAGCCATGACAAACTCTAAAAAACTCTTGGGGAATAAATATTTTAAACGTGGTCATTAGGGATGGGAATCGAAAACTGTTCCGTGTGTTCCAATTTCATGGCGCCATTTGGCAGCTCGCTTAACAATTCTCATCGATTCCAGGCAGCACCAAAGCCTAGGGCTCTGGGCAACACGACTTACGTCACATTCTTTTATGCAAGTTACACACACAGCATTCAGTAAGCAAGTACGATGTGACCAGGCGTATGTCTAGAAAAGCAAAACAAAAAAAATGGCGTCCCATCGGGTAAACCGATTGAAAGTTTGGCTTTATTTTAGTAGGGAAACCAGACGTCGTCTTTTTCCCGGACATGTCCTATTTTTCAGACCTTAAAAAAATGTCCGAGAGGATTTTCAAAATCATCCGGGATTTTGGTCGACTGCAGTACAGCTCGTAGTCAAAACAGGGACCAGCGGGGGACAGAGCGACCGAGCCTGACCCGGTAACGGTAGCCTGGACAATGGCGGACCTGTGCTTCCCCCCGCCTGCCTTACCGGTCCCCAGCCCCCTTCCTCCGACTGAGGACAGACGGCTCATGGCTCTCTGCTGAGGTACGGTCCAGTCAGCGGCCCAGCAGTCGACAAAAAAAAAGTGTACTCCTTTTCAGAAACCCAAATTTGGTCACCCTAAATTTTAAGGAAGAGAAAGATGGCAACAAGGTGCTTTGCAATCATTGCACAGGGGCAACTACATCAGCGGGAGGAAATTGATCCAACATGCAGAAAAACTTGCGCACACAACATGGCATACATTTTTACGAATGCCTTGTTTTTTATGCTTCCAAAGAGAAGCTAAAGTTATGACCAGCATGGAAGGCAACTCTGGTGGCAAGTAGCTAGTTTTATGTGACTGGCTGTGCTGTGTTAATTTGGTTCCTAGTAAATCATAGCCCATTTCTGGAAATAAACCCATTTCCTACCTCTCTTTTGGGTTATTAAGGGAGTGCACCTTTATTGATAATCCAGCCCATCATTGCTAGTATGTTTAATTATAACTGGTAGCTGGAGTTCTTATATGATTCTAGCTATTGCAAAGCATGTAACAAAACATGCTACAAAGTTGCTTCGCAGTTCAGGGAGCGAGAGAGAAAGGTGACGCTCGTTTATTCAAATCAGGGGGAGATGAGTTCATTTCCCGAAAGTGTACAGTAATCCTTTTTCATTAAAGGGATGCCTTCTCCATTAGATTAAGATAACTGTGACGAAAATCGATAAGAGATCCGATAAGGAATCAAATTGTTTCAGAGAAACGATAAGAGAATCGGAATGGTGAAAATCTTATCAATTACCAACCCTAGTGGTCATAAATATACTTTGATAAGTAAGAAAAATAATCTCAGATATTTAAACTCAAGAGTTGAACCTCATTTGATTAAGTGATGCTGCAATTAAAAGATATATATAATTAAGCTGCAAGACTCTTCAGTTTAAAAGGTAAACAACTATAAGTTATGGCAAAAAACGTTATTTACATAAGTATTGTAAACAAACAGATGCTGTTCACAAAAAGGAACAGTTTACAAACAGGAAAATTAAAAACATTTGTTAAAGAAAAGGTAATGTTTTATGAGACATACCTATCTGGGACTCAGCTACTAAGGTACTGTTTCGATCACACAGTGGAGAGAAGGGAAGGCCAAGCTCCGCCTCTCTATCGCCCTCACAAAGATAGAAAAAACAAGAGGAGATTCATTGGCATCCCACTTATGAACTGAAATAACTTTCTGAGGTTATTTTATTCCAACACACACCAACTGAAACTTTTAAATAGACTACCTTATGACTGGGTAGCTCTTAGTATTTAAAGCACAATAGTTTCCATTTCTTGTTTCCACAGAGAGAACAGGACTGTGCTATACTTGTCAAATAGTCTTTTTTAAAGAAATAATTTACGAATAAGTCCCAGCGTACAGTGGATACAAATGAGCTGTGGTGACTTGACGTGCTGTGTCTTTAAGATGAAAGACTTTAAAAATTGTCATTTTCAAATCTAAATGCTCATAAAGTATGAGCTGACTCCTGTTTTTGAAAGATAGTAAGTTGCGCCGCGGTCAGCACTGTAATTAGTATATAAAAATGTTTTCACCAGTTCAATTTTTAAACATGCAGCAGCTAAAATGTTTTCATTGTTACCTAATCCGAAATCACTAAAAACTGATTTCAACATATAGCCCACACCTCAGCATCAAAACAACTCAGCATACTCTGTTTTGGGACAGAAACTTATCTCATACAAACTAAACTCCCCAAATGTTATATTTATCACTTTAAAGTTATTTTGAGGTTATCTTTATATAAAAAATGCAAATATTCTAAAATACAAATATCAATGGCAGAACATAATGTACGAATGGGAATTAAGCCAAGAAATTAAACCTTTTTTAGTTCCTCTAGTGAAAGCTGAAACATGTTTAACGCCAAAATTGATGAGCATAATATAGTTAAAAATCAAATGCTGCAACACTAAGCTGTATTCAATTTTCATTTGGTATTATTCGTTCATTTTTTTTAAGGTCTTTTAGTCTAAAACGTGTTATTAGGAGAACAATTTAGAAATAATTTGCTATTTTTTTCATAGGTGACAAACGTTCACAAACATAAGAACAACAAAAGTTCTTATATATGACAAAATAAGCAAAAACAGAATAATGTTGCAATGGAATTAACAGTTTTTAACAGCATTGTAGGAACAGCAGGATTTTTTTTCTTGCTTTTTTACATTTAAAAACCTTCTGACATTCCAGTGAATCATTTCCAGCACAGATCTCTTAGAGGAGAATTTCAGAGAATAACTAGTAGTTCCTTTAATATGCAATTTAAAGAAAATGATAACCACATCAGAGTCAACCCGCTTGGTAATTTGGACTTCAGTTACAACAGCTGTGACGTGACATTCTTTTTTCACCCCAGAAAATTTCGGTATAAGCTTAGAAAATGTAAGAGGGCAAATGTTTTTTTTAGGAACATATAAAGGTCCCAACTGTTTTTAAATGCATATTTTGATTAATTCCCAAATCTTTTTTTCACACAAACATGAAGGCAAAAGTACAATCATATGAGCTAGCGGAAATGAAACTGACATTTCCACAACCTTTAACTTGTCCTTTTTTATAGATGAAAGTTGCAGCTTTCTAGGAATCCCTCTAATGCTGATGATTAGATCCAATTACTGAACATAAATCTAAGAATGAGCTTTTAAATTCAAAGGAGGAACAAAAAATTGCCTTTGATAGTTCAGATCTACTTAGATGCTTACCTGCCTGAAGAACTCCTCCATTAATGCTTTGGTCCAGCGAGAGTGCAGAGCCCAGGGCTTGGATGGATGGCTGATGTCAGCTGTGTGCAGTAACAGAGACAGCGCTTTGGGCTTATCAATCCTGACGGAGAAAGAAAAATGCTCTGGTTGTTTGTGCTGCAGTCATGAGGCATTCCAGTTTTAGTTGAAAACATCTCACTAGTCTTAAAAGATCCAACAGATAAACTCGAAGTTTTCAACCTACCGCTCCTGTTGTTGTAGACAGGACTTCATGGCTTTAACTTGAAGTAGGTGGGAGGACATGTCAGTGGCCAAAACCATATCTATAACAAGGGATCGCATCTCCCTGTAAACACACACAGACAGACACAAAGTTCAGCAGCTGACCTTGAAGCACATGAAGGAACCATATAAAGTAGAAGTCGTTAGGAGGATGACACTGTGAGGTGGTAACCTATTTAGCTTCACTGATGGATTTCCTTGTTCTCATGGTAACACTGACTGCTAAAGAATCCTGTTGCAGCATACTGCTGTGTTTATCTCTGCACAGCTCCTCCGTGTATATTACAGCCACACTGGGTCTGGGATATACTGTATAAGCAAACGGCTTAATAATACAGACAGTATACATGCTGTTAATCATTTTTTTCAAAACAAACTCCAATGGGGATGTTTACACTGACAAGGGGGCATTAGATTTAAACCAAAGCCAACACCCATCAATTATGTAAACTCTGCATTGTAATATCATTATGTCTGCTATATGTACCTGCAGTAATAAGTTATGAAACATATTCACTTTTCAACTACTCCTTATTGCATAGCATGATCTTTTGTAGAGTCTTATTGTTGTCTAGGGGAGTTTAACCCTATAGTTTCAGTTGGAGCCAAATCTCTATGACAGAGCTGTTCATCGACTGATGTTGTAGCGCACATATCTTGCATACAGCTTTTTATTGCTGCCTACATATTTCCTCTGGGTAAACTTAATGATTTTGTGATGTCTATTTGAAAGCTTTGATTTCAATTAATTAGCTTAGTCCCATAGATTTTCATGTAGTTGGAAGACCAAGATGTTGACAAGCTTCCAGGCTGATGCGTTCAGATGTTTTTTCACTAGAATGGATATTCTTCATTACCTTATCCATTTTAGAAACTGCCATAGTCTGTCCCAAAACACAACCACAAAGGAATGTCATTGGTGTTCCCATGTTAGGACCCTTTTTTTTATTCAAATATCACAATGGTCATAGCTAAACAAAAGAGCATTATAATCACAGTTTCTTTAGGCCACAGAGCATTTTCTGTCTACATTTGTGCAATTGGCTGTTCATGTTACATTATGAATAGTAGCTTCTTCTACCTCTGAGTGGCTGCTCTTTTCAAGTTTGCACAGAAATCACCCAGCATCCCCTGCATTTGTTTTTTTACTGTACATACAAGCATTTCTCACCAACAAACATCTATCTCAGGGATACAGAACCCACCTCCATAATTGCTGCTACTGCATGTAACTGTTTGAACAAAGGACCAGGATACCTTAAGAATTCTGGAAAATATCTATGAAATTTCTGTATCTTGTTTGATTTTTTTATATTTCACACAAGAAAGCAAAGTGATTACTATATTGAAAAAGATCCAATTTTTGATCTGATCAGTTGAAGCCATATTTCTATGGTTATAGTAAAATTATTTTATTTTTTAGTTGTTTAATTTAGTTGTGTCTTGTTGGCTAATACCATTCATAAGGTCAGTTTGAATTTTGGTGGAAAATCTGGATCCTTTTATGTTTCACATCAGTTGGTTTCATTATAAATTTTGATTTTTACATATATTTTCTTGAATTTAATGTAAAATATCAGTAAATATTCAAAAGGAATAAACCTAATTATCTTACATCCACTCCTCTCGAGTCAAATTAATGAAGATGTTCAGCTTGTCGTCCTGCAGCAGGCGAAACGCTGCACTTAAGTGATGACTTTCCTGCACAGATCTGTCATTATAAATCAGAGCAAACTCTGACCTGGAAGACAGACAAAAAGAAAGATATTACAAATACACAGAAAATCATCTGATCTCATGGCCCTGAAGCATATAAATGTATAAAGATACAGTCTATGACTGTTTCGAACTGGGGAGGGGTTTAAAATAAAGTGATAAAAGTAGAAGCCTTAGGGTGCAATTTAATAACTGTGACTGCATAACTGTAATGATGAGTTTCTGTGCATGAATGATTCACTATTAACAGGGTAATTAACAAATCTCTTGATAAGCCATTTTACATATTAGAGTGTTCAAATAGGTACTAAAAATTATTCTTAGAATTTTCCAGTAAGATTTTATTTATAAGCCTCTGCAAATTGTGCACTTAAATAAACTACTATATTAACCACTTGCTGTGCAGACATTTATACATTCATAGTTCTAGCTAACAAAGCCAGCAGAATTTCATGGGCATACAATCCTACGAGAAGTGTTTTTTTCTGGCCGAGTCTTTTAAAGCAGAATATAGGTAAATCAAATATTTCATGGCACAAAACTATATCAAGAATTGTAGTAATGTAATTACCTGCTAATGCTTCCTAAACTGCTAAATGGAGGAGAAATGGTTTGACTCAGGTAAGCACACTCTGATCCAGGCCAGGCAGTGCTGATTGGGTGATGTCATGCAGAGCACCATAATGGGGGAAGACTTTATGGTCACTCATTCTGATTTTTGCCTAAGTTTTTTTGTTTTGTTATTGGCTTATTAGGTTACTTTATAATTATTTGTTGTCCACTGAAGGTAAGTTTTAAAGGTACACTCTGTAATAGTTACATGGATTTACTGACATAAACTATATATAATGGATATAATTATCACCCATCAAATAAAAGTCTCAATTTTTTTATTTGCTTTACCGTGGAAATGGCTTTTTATAATTACATGAAAGTTGGTTCCCATTTGTTGAGGCAGACTTCTTAAGTAAATCAACTTAAATTATATGTACCATATTTTCTGCACTATAAAAAGCCTTCTTTTTTCTCAAAAGCCGACAGTGCGCATTATATTCCGGTGAACCCTATGTATGGATCAAGACTAAGCTTCAACAGGGCTCGCAACTATGGGGAGCAGCCGCCATCTCCCTTTTTCCCGCATAAAAGAAGTAGTGCGCGGTGTATGCTGGTAATTTTCATTTCCATTTTTGAGAGTTAAGACCCCATAATAAAACTTTCAAGAGTAACGTGCACGATGCAGAGTTTAAAGTCAATGCTATCAGTTATGCAGTAAACATGGGAATAGAGCAGCAGCTCAAGAATTTAACATTAATGAATCAATGGTGCGGAAGTGGAGGAAGCAAGAAGATGTCCTCAACCAAGTAAAGGAGACTAAACACTGTTTCAAAGGGAACAAAACAAGATGGATACAGTTAGAGGATAAAATCGAGCAGTGGGTTATTGAACAGACAGCAGCAAGTAGAAGTGTGTCAATAAATACTATTTGAATGAAGGTAACAGTGCTAGCACGCAAACTCAACATCAATTACTTTAGGGGCGGTCCTTATTGGTGCTTTCGGTTTATGAAAAGTCGTAATCTCATCTGCACACAGACTAATGTTTTGCAGCAACTGCAAAAAGACTACAAATAAAAGCTGGCCTCTTTCCACGCTTACTGCTAAAACAAGGTACCAGAGTACATCATCAACAGCTAGGAGGTTCCACTCACCACACCACAGGGAATGAGAAGTCAAGTTTGGCTTACTTATCTGACTGTTTATTGACATTCTCTGTAGTGCCGCTGCATCTAGTGGATGCATAACGCAACCCCACCACTACAGTAGCCTCTATTGTATGTGTCTTACAGTGCGATGCACCTTATATTTAAAAAAAAAAGGTAAATTAGGCTATTCATTGAAGGTGTGCCTTACAATGTGTTGTGCCTTATAGTGCGGAAAATCATCCTCATTACCCGGGCTGCATAAGAGGAGCAGGACTCCAGTCACTGTTTGCCAGAGTGTTACACACGGTAACTCTCAGCCTCTCAACACTTGGAAATACTTTCTGTCCCTATTAATCTCAGTTTGTTATTTTCATTTTACCGTTCTTAGAATGCGTCTGCAAACTACTCTACTGAGTCACCAACCGATTACCAAGAAGTTAACTGGATTCATCTACCGGACTGGAACTGCTCCATCTTCACAGCCTACCCGCCCTGCAGCTATAATCATCCTCTCAATATCATGTTTTATCTGACAGAACCAAAGTCAACACCACCGACTTGAGGCTACAACCTGGGACGTCACTCATTTAAACCTGGCGGAAGGATTCCCACACACATGTAATCTGGCGGCCTGCTGGATTAATTCCCTCACTCTGTCCAGTCCTAATCCTGTGGTCTGTTTTCAGAGCTCATGCCTCCCATAAAGTTCCTGATCTCCCCTTTGCCTTATCCCCTCCTCTTAAACAAACTCAATTATCTGATCTGTTTATCTCCTGGGAGTTTGTTGTCTTTGCATGTGGGTCGGAAGCCTTAACAAAACAATGACACCCACGAAGTTTGATCAAAATGCATTTTACTGTGACATGTAATCTGTGACACATGCTCATGTTCATACATTGATATGTTTTTGGGTTTTATCACAAAGAGCTTTAGCTGGTCGTTACATTTGTGCATCCTTGTTTTTTTTATTTATTTTTTATTTCTTGTCTCAAAAGCTGTAGTTCCAATTGACCTGTGTCATTCATATGTGCGCCAGAAGCATAATGACGTCCTAAGGCTGAAGGCTGTCTGGATTGAGAACAGCAGTCCGGTGATTCTTTTCTACCTGGTTTGTGTTCTTGCTGTGTTGACTCCGTGAAAGATAAAAGAATCTGACTTTTAGAAACAAGTATTTTATTTTACTGCTGTTTTTTTCGATTTAATACAATGTAAAGGAAGTGTGGTGAACGTGATGTGAAATTAGAAAAAAAGTAAAGCAGTACAACCTAATAAATATATAAATATTTTTAATAATTTTTGGACTTTGACACAGATAACACTGAAAGCATTTCTGCTACTCTTAACATATAAGAATTTTATTATCGTTGCTATGCAGTATCTAAGACATATATTTAACTATGGTCAGATATTTTCATTATTATAAAGATTAAACAAACAAATTTGGTACCAAGAGACTGCATTGGAAAAAATCTAAAAATACTGTTTTTCCTTCCATAAAGTTCTGTTTGCTTTAGTAAGCTCTTGTCCCATTCCCCAAATGGTTTAAATGTCCCTAAAAAGTTTTAAATAAAACCTATTTTCTCCCCACTTTGAAACCTGCCTTCTATCTATAGCTCTTTGGGTATTACAGAACAGGATGTGACATCTACACAGTATGCACTTTGTGCAGAATGGTTGAAGTTTATAAAAGATGCAGCAAAAAAATGAAGCTGACCTTGTGTGGATGTGAAAGTTGTTTGTGGTTCCTGTGTGTTCAAAGTCATGAATGGCAGCAGCAAACAGCGAAGCCATCACCTCAAGCTCTGTCAGCCAGTGCTTAACGTAGAAAAGGGACAAAATAATGAATAAACAAGTAAATACTGTATGCCAGATGGAACAGACGTGTAATGTTTCAAAACATCTAAGTGCTGAACAACACGAACAAATAACAAAATGCTTTTATATGCAAGAAGAAGTAAGAAAGTAACATCAGACACATCATGACTTTACAGTCACTTTCTGAGAGGCTTTAACACCATATTTTGTTGAATTTACATTTTCAGAAAACAAAACTACTCATCATTGTCTGTTTAACAAATGCAAAATCCTTAAATACTCTTAATTCCAACAAAATCAACATTGTTGATTCATTATTTTACACCTTGGGAGCTCTGTTTTTATCAAAAAAAGTGTTTAGTGTTCTAATTCTACAGTGAGTGAGTCAGTGATAGTTTTGAAATTAATCGTCTATAAGCCACGTCTATAAGCCACGTCTATAAGCCACTGACTCAGAAATTTTTTATCAATCACCGTAACACTCTCACACGCAAAGGATAAAACACTGGCTTGCTAAAACATAACAGATGAAAAACCGACAGTGAATATTATTTTACATTACTGCATATTTTTTAGTCTATTTCTGCAACAACATAGAAAGAGAATAATTTAAAGCTGATAACTTATGCATGTACAGTTGTGCTTGAAAGTTCACATACCTTCCTCTGAAAGAAAATCATAAATTTACAGTAGTAATTCAAATACCACAAAACTGAAAAATGGAATAATAGCGGGAAAAAAAAGTACTAATTACAGTACTTAAAGTAATTAAAGTACAATTTCTATTTATGTTACGGGCAGCTGATTTTTTTTTGTCTTTAATGGAAGGGTATGGAAACATTCAAGCACAACTTGAAAGACGGACAGATTTGAGAGGGAGATGGTAGTAGTAAATACAGTATATATGCCCTTTGAGTGTTAAAAATAAATAGAACTACAGTAATTCCAAATTAAAGGAGAATGTTTTTCATTTTCTTAAAAAAGTTATATGAATGTAAGGAATTAGCTGCAAAGAAAGCTGCTTTACTTTAGTATTCATTGGAGTGTGCCGTACCACGAGGCCGGAACGCAGCAGCAGACAGTGCATGGTCTGAGTCACATCAGCCGCATGAATAAGGTTGTGATATGGATTGTTGTATTTGCAGTATCCTTTTTCCAGGGCAGACAGGAATTCAGTCAGGCATGCGATAGGAATCTAGAGAATGTATTATATAATCAATTAATACCTGTGCCTGAATTTAACATGAAAAACAACCTGAATTAGGTAAAAAGGTTAAATAATGCAGATGGTTCAAAGATTGGCATTTTCAAATACCATAAAATGGAAACAGTCTCTGGTTATTTTCCATCAGTTACGCTTAGTATGAATAAGTAATTTGGGTTAATGTCACTTAGGGATGTCTAGACAAAACACATAAATGCATGGAAAAATCTATTTGTTGAAAGACATCTTTATACAACATCAGTAAAATATTAAAGACCTTAAAGCGACTGTTGAGGTCATATCTTGTGATCAGTTCAAAGAACAGAGTTTGTAGTGCATGATCGGAGCTGGCAGAGTTCAGAGCAAAAACATCAAAGCTCCAACGATCCACATCCTAAAGAGAAAGAGAGACAAGTAACAGTTCTGCCAGTGCATACCTAAACTGATCTTTTTTCTAAAACTCAGCCATATATCAAGCCAATATTTTGCACACTGTGAGATTTGAGATGATTGCAGAAGTACCCTTAAGCAGGTTACGACTGCTGCAGGTTGGTCTGGCATGGTCGCTGTGTACGCCCTCTTGAACATCCTGGAATAATGCAATGTTTATGCTGAGTTCAGTTAAAGTTCAGATGTTGATACTGTGCAGCAAACCTGACTCAGGAGGTGTTTATACAAATCCTCTAAGGTCCCTACCCTTTTTGAAAGAATGTTTTACAGGAATGAAATAAGGCTAATGTTTTACAGTTATCATCTGTAGTTGTAAAATAAACTTAATGAGCTTTAAAGTTTAAACACTGAAACAGGAAATATGTGCTCTACATGTTTTGCTAAATATCTGTCTATCTATATGTCTTATTCAATAATGATCACCTACAGAATACAGAGAAGAGGTTCTACTCCCTTTTCTCATGAAATATCAAAAAGAAAGGTTTGAGATGTACTACCTTTCCACAAAAATCCCAGCCTGCACTGCATGCACAATGCTACGAAACTTGGGCTTCTCATCTGAGCGTCTCAAAGGTCGTCGTATCCTCTGGGTGAAGGTGGACGCCAACCAGTCAGTGACCTCCGATGGCACTCCATCTGACTGCAGCTGCTGAAGATCGTCCTCTGACTCCAGACACTGTCTAAGATCAGACATTGATTGTTTGAATGGAAACAGAAGTAAAATAATAAAATAATAAAAGAATAATCTCTACTTATTATCCTGAAAATAAAGGTCAGTGTTTTAAATAACAAGTAAAATCATGGATTAACACAGAAACTATACACTCTAAGCATTAGTCAGTCACTCCTGACCGGTGAAGGATTACATTTTGAGCTACAAAGATTGGCAGCAGGAATCTTCAGGTATGTTTTTTCTCCTTTGAGCATGCAGCAGGTGCATTTGCTGTAACCATATAATCACTGTTTTATGAATGACGGTAAACTTCTCTGTGGGTTCCACCAACCGTCAGCTGACATTCATCTACATTGCAGGTTATTCACCATGCATTTCTGACTGCTGCACTGTTTCAGTGTCTTATTAAAGTTAGCCGGGGTATTTATATCATGCAACCTAACTGAGCTTGTGCACAGATTACAACCATGGACCTTTAATCAGAGAAAATCGGACTTCTCCTTGTAAATGAATGAAACCCGGTGTTATTTGTACACTAACATAAGGACTTCAGGTCCACACCAAACGCTCTGGGAGGGGCCCTCACCAGCAGTTATGTTATGACTGATGCTGGCTCTGCTAAATTAAGCAAAGTAAATGCCTGTTTTTCTTTGTTCTTTATATATTTTAATGTGTCTCTTTTTTATAATTTAAATGGAGTTTTAGGAATGATGCAGGTTTATATTTCGTTGTGGTATATCAGTGCATACTTACTGCACTGGCTGGAAGAAAACAAACATTAAGGACTGTAATATTAGTGGTTGGAAGAAATGTAAATATAAATGGTTGGTAGATGCAGCAAACGCTGAATTCCTAAATGAACTGAACAACTTCTTTGGAAGGTTTGAGGCAATAAACTGCGCTGTAGAAGTGAAAGCTGTTCAACATCCGGGAAGAGGAGGCACTCAACCTAGCCATAGCTGAAGTGACAAGAAGTGATAAGAAGGATTAATTTGTGGCATCTTCAGCTGAAAAGTACGTAAAGTCAGACTACAGAATTTTCTGATATTAAGTTTTCAGAGAAGCTGTAGAAAGAGGTTTTCTTGTACCATAAATATCTGAAGTTTTATAGCTTCTCATCCACGGGATGAAATTGGCACCCGCCCGAACGCCAAATGCAGGTACCTTTTGTGATTGGTGGGTGAAACTGTCAATCTAATTGCCAATCACATAGCTTATTTTTTTAAACAAGCCCCACTTTTTTCTTGTATTTTTTTAAAACAAAATGTGACAAGATATATTGGCTTATTTGGGAGCCACAGGCTGTAATGTAAAAAAAAAGAAGTGTAAATACCTTTACTGTCCCACAATGGGGAAATATGTTGTCTGCATTTCAACCTATCCCCTCAGGGAACAGTGGGCTGCCATTTTGTGCAAACCAGGGAGCAATCAGGGGTTAAGGGTTTTCTGCATAAATCCAGAGTGGAGGTTGTGGGGATTGAACCGGGTACCTGCAACTCTCTAAGACCATAAGTGCACTGCTCTAACCCACTAGGCCAATACTCCCAGCATGTAAAGGATGTGATGGACAGAAAGGTCAGAAATAGTTTATAAAAAATTGAAAAACAGAAGTTTTGATTTGATGTGGGAATGAACAGAGAGGTTCGCGACTGGCTGCTATCACCACAGAGGAAATGCACAGTTGGGTTTGCCGTGTACACTCACCGGCCACTTTATTAGGTACCCCATGCTAGTAACGGGTTGGACCCCCTTTTGCCTTCAGAACTGCCTCAATTCTTTGTGGCATAGTTTCAACAAGGTGCTGGAAGCATTCCTCAGGGAGTTTGGTCCATATTGACATGATGGCATCACACAGTTGCCGCAGATTGGTCGGCTGCACATCCATGATGCGAATCTCCCGTTCCACCACATCCCAAAGATGCTCTATTGGATTGAGATCTGGTGACTGTGGAGGCCATTTGAGTACAGTGAACTCATTGTCATGTTCAAGAAACCAGTCTGAGATGATTCCAGCTTTATGACATGGCGCATTATCCTGCTGAAAGTAGCCATCAGAAGTTGGGTACATTGTGGTCATAAAGGGATGAAACGTTGATACAAGGCAGGATGGATCCATGCTTTCATGTTGTAGACGCCAAATTCTGACCCTACCATCCGAATCTCGCAGCAGAAATCGAGACTCATCAGACCAGGCAACGTTTTTACAATCTTCTATTGTCCAATTTCGATGAGCTTGTGCAAATTGTAGCCTCAGTTTCCTGTTCTTAACTGAAAGGAGTGGCACCCGGTGTGGTCTTCTGCTGCTGTAGCCCATGTGCCTCAAAGTTCGACGTACTGTGCGTTCAGAGATGCTCTTCTGCCCACCTTGGTTGTAACGGGTGGTTATTTGAGTCACTGTTGCCCTTCTATCAGCTCGAACCAGTCTGACCATTCTCCTCTGACCTCTGGCATCAACAAGGCATTTCCGCCCACAGAACTGCCGCTCACTGGATGTTTTTTCTTTTTCGGACCATTCTCTGTAAACCCTAGAGATGGTTGTGCGTGAAAATCCCAGTAGATCAGCAGTTTCTGAAATACTCAGACCAGCCCTTCTGGCACCAACAATCATGCCACGTTCAAAGTCACTGAAATCACCTTTCTTCCCCATACTGATGCTGGAACTGCAGGAGATTGTCTTGACCATGTCTACATGTCTACCTAATAAAGTGGCCGGTGAGTGTATATGGCTTCTAAGAAAGTGAAATCAGACCAGATGTCATGATGTAGATCTAGTCAAAATACCATGTGGCTGGTGGATTTCACAGTCCACCTGATTCAGTGGCTGGTGAAAAGTTAACCTCAGGCCCCTTACTAATTGCAAAGGGACACAACATTTCTGAAGTCAAAGCTACAGCTATACAGTAATGAGTTTGGTACAATGGACAACATTGAAAACTGCACTTTATAATCTGGAGTGTATGTCAGGGTTATGCCCTTTGTTTATTATTATTATTATTTTTTTTTTTCTGGCAGTGTTGTGTTTTGTGTTACTCTCTGTTGCCCCCTTGTGTCTGTTTCTTTTTCCCTTGGCTGCCTTCTAGTTCCTTCTACCCACACCTGCTCCATATTAGTTCATTAGCCCATTCTTTGTTCTGTTCTCCATATATGCACTGCCTCTGCAGTTCATTGGTTTCTTGTTGTGTTTTTGCTTCATTGCTTTGCTGCCTGTGTCTTGTTTCTCCCTGGTATCTCCTGTTTTTTGGTTTCTTGAATGTGTTCTTCTGTTGCTATCAATTTCCCAATAAATCAGCACACTAATCTCTGCCTCTTTTCTGCATGTAGGTCCTCAACTAATTTCCATCAAACCCTGACAGTGTACCCATTAAAAAAATTAAATGAATAAAAATAGCTTTTTGGCTCTTCACAATTACTCAGCCGGTTTTCAGTGGGTTTAGTGTGCTACGTCAAAAAACAAGTATGGGTATTGAAACCAAGAATGAGATGGAGGATAAATAACCAAAAAACTAATTGAGTCATTTTAGATGTTTCCTGTTGTCTCTTGTCTTGTGGCTGATGCTTCAAAATGAAGCCTAGAAGTATTTTTAAGCTGGAGGACTTTGCAAAGCCTTACCTGTACATCCTCTCACATCATCAACATCCACCTCTGCCAACTTTCTTTTGCACTCTGAGCATCTTCAGCATCTAAAGCTCTCATTTTTAATTCATTCATTGTGGAATATCCCCCTTCAAACCGGGCTGCAAGCCCTCTCCAGCCCCTTCCCTGGCCTGGTCTACCTCCTTCTCCAGCCTTCCCTCTCCCTCCAATCAGTCCTCCACATTTCTATTTTGATAAATCTGCTCTATCATTATCAGAATGGCTCTTTGTCTTCTGCCAAGGTCCAAATGCTGAAATAATTAAATTAATTCATGTCAATAAGCTCTCCTATTGCCTCCTTGTTAGTCTCTCTAGGTTGGAAATTGTGTCTTGAATCAGCATAAGGGAATGTAATGTAACATTATGTCTTTACTGCCAGCTCATTTAGCACACCAAGCTAGTCAAACAGCTGAGGTATTAAGATCCTCAAGGGAATTATTCCTGTAAATAGGAAAATTGTCAATTTGGCCTGTAACCTTGAACGTGCAATTTCCTACCTAATCTGTTCAGCGTCATTAGGGACTCAGCATTGTTAAAATACTGTATAATATGTCAGATTACGACATTTATTTATTTATATTTATTTTACTCTGCAAATGTTAGTGTTATATTTTGTTTTGTTGTTTTATAAAATATAACTTTCAGTATAACTGTAAATGCTTGCTATACACCATAAATATCTTTTAAAAGCTGCTGTTTATAAAAAGAATCTTAAAAAAAATATATATATATATATATATTTTCCATTTGCTGCCGACTTTCCTCTGCGAGTCTATAAAGGATATTTTTTATGTCTTAGATTTCACATATCTCAAAAAGTTGATGTTACATGTTACACTTTTAAATCAATCTAGCTTATTGTTTTTCTGACCTATGTGACTCCTTGCAACTACAATTACTGCATTTTTAGGCCACCTTGGATTTATTTATATTGCCTTACCTTGTTCCATCGAGATAAACTGCCTCCAGTAACGATGCAGTGAAATCCAAATTTTTTTTTATTTCTTCAAAATCAACATCCTTCTCCTCAATCTTCTTCAGCATGCTTCTCAACCTAAAAGTAGAAAACACGGGTCAAGTTACGGGGAATTCACATTTGGATAAATAAAATGGTAAATTGACCAACTAAATGTACCGGCCCTAATAACAACTGAGATAACCGCAAACATTCAAAGCTAATAAAAGCTGTTTAAGACATTGTTTCGCTGCTTGTCTGCTGTTTTAAAAGTACTTTGAGCTTTATTTGCATGGTGTACTACTGTATAAATCAACTTAAACTTGATGAGATTCTGTAAATCAACTTAAACTTGATGAGATTCTGTAAACTAAAGTGTTATAATTTGGAAGCCCTCTTTCTTTGTCATGCATAAACAGTACATTAAAATCTTAATAAGTAGAACTGAATCATTGGGAAATTGCATAAATGTCAAACTGTCCAGGGACAACCGCTGCTAAAAGGGCAGCATCAGAAGCAAACTTTCCATGAGAGAGAAAAGCTTCCTTTGTTTAGGGTATTATGTAACATGAATTAAATAAAAAAATACAAATTTAAGAAATATAACCCTGCCTAAATTTTGAGCACCTCTGAGACAACGTTCCACCGCTTGGAATTACTTAATGGCGTTATGAGTTAGAAAAAGGGGTAAGCATACACAACCATTGCAATGGAACAAAAAGTTAATGCCTCCACCATGTGTCATCAATATTTTAACCACCGCCTGTTTTTTGTTTTTTTAGCCTAATCTCAAAGGTAAACCTGGTTGAGATCTGATAAAGTAGGGAAAAAAGAATGTGTCTCGTTTGTAGAAATTGAAATCTGTTTTAAAAAGATTACTTTGATCTCACAACATATAGCTTCCATTGATGTTATTTTCTAAAACACTAATTAAACACACAAAAGGAGATCAACAGTTTTCAAGCTGGTGTTCCACTGGGAACTCAGCCGCTACGGATAAGATGCTCACAGCTTTTTCAAGTGTTTTTCATGCTGGCAGGGGTTTTTAAAAGCTGTGGAGTTGTAGAAATAGCATACCTCCTTGGCTCACTTTGAATCTCAAGTAATCTCTCATGATAAGGCAATGCTTTTTGATTTGACTGTTGGGAGTTGGAAAACCTTTGACATGACGCTCACAGGAAATTACGAGTCAAAAATTCTCATAAAACCGTGTTTATAGCATAATCAGAAATCCCCTTTTTGACTGACAATTTGCTATCTCTGTGGTGCCAGATATCATATGTAATAATAACCTAACAGCTACAAAGTTGAGCTCACTGGTTAGATTATTTCTCTCTCTTTGTATTTTACAGCTAAATTTAAAAAAAGTGTATTTATTTCAAATTTCTGATTCAGAGAAGATCACATATTATAATTTTAATTACTCTAACCTCATTTTAATTGTAAAATAGATCAAGAAATTCTAGCATTCTCATTATTCAACAGGCAATTGGCCTCTTCATATAGATGTACATCAGTGTGTAACCAAAACAAAAACCACATGACCCACCAACTGCTCTCCCCCCCACAGTAAGTCGGCAAGACAAGTGTCTTTGCCTGCGGCATTTGTAGCAAGAAACTTTTTTTTTGTTCCTTAGAAACCAACTTACACCCCTGGCAAGTGGTGTATAACTTCTAAATGTATGAGAATAGTGCCTTGTTTTTGCTCTTACATGACAGGCGTAATATCTGCTGAAACCATCTGCACAAGAAGGTATTTACTGAGTCACAAGTTTCCATTTCTGCAAAGCAAGTAGCCACCACCCTGAGAGAAATGCAACTTATAAGAAAGAACATTTGTTGTGTCTCCAATCCAGAAATTCAGCAATTTTTCTATCTTATATTATCGGATGACATTTAAACAGTTTGATGCATAATAAAATCTCTATAAACCAAAAGCCTATGTCTTACCTAGAGATAGGTATTTGCAGGTTTTTCTTTCTGATTTGCACCAGTTCAGCCATTCCACATTTAACCTGTGCTCTGATCGACCCCAGAGTTCAATTAGAAAAAAAATTAATCCAGATGATGAAAAGTAAAGTTGTTTCAGAGGAGTAGTGAGCTGAAAAGTTCTGCAAACCACCAACACAAACTTTATGTGTCTTGAAACAGCTTGAGCAGCTCTCCCACCCACTTCTGGGGGGACCTACTCCACTTTACTCTGATTGGTTAGTCAGCTCCAAACTGTGTCAGTGTCTATGTGCTTGTGTGGGTAAAAAAAAAAAGAGAGAAAGAGAGAGAGCTGCTGTTTTTATTTCTTCAGTGTCTGAGTGTTTGTGTATCTGTATACACCCATTGTATGAAGTGTGAGAGAGTTGACCTCACTTGCTGATGAAGTGTTGACTGCAAGGCTTTCAAGCTGTGTGTGCAAGTGTATTTGTGTTAGTGTGTGTATATACTCAAATCCCAAAGGAGAATTTTCCACAGCAACCTCAAAATCAGGGGACTGCACTGGGAGGCTTTATCCAACACCTAAAGGCACCCAAAAAAAAAAAAAAAAAAAAAGGCTAGCACCATTTGGGTAGTGTGTAAATGTGAGATAAATGCCTAAATTAAAACCACTTAGCTTTTTATCATTTTAGCCTGAACATTCCAAATTAAACTTTAAAAAATTCAGATTTATTATTTAATGTTAATGACCACCACAGTCGTTTAAATTTGTGAAAGGGTGGGAAATTATCAAGTTTATTTCAAATAGTTCAACAAATGATAATCTGAGAGGTGTGGGATGCATATATTGGCTAATTTTCCTGTGATCACGGCTCCAGGTTTTCTGGGAATTTTCTCTACCAGCCTTACATATTTAGTATTTGTTTTACATTCTGTTTTTTAATATAGCTCAAGCTCAGCGTTATTGTTAGTAAAGTAAGTAAAACTGCCATGACTGGCTTCCAAGAGTTCCTCCTACAAGCTTGATCAGCTTTATGTTCTAAAAAAGAAAAAAAAGTGTTTTTCATTCTTCTCTCTGACTTCTGAATGCAAAGAGCTGCACTGAATGCATTTAGTGGTGCTGGATTAAAACATACATTTGTAGTTGCTTTATGACAAAAAAGTGGAAAGGCTGAACCGAGATTTTTTTGGAATTTTTTGCAGAGCCCTTCAAACAAAAACAGTATACAATATCAAAGTGCCACACCATTCTATTCCATCCCATAGCATTCAGAGCCCCAAAAAATGCAGCTTTGTTGGACCCCAGATTATAGAGATAAGATCAAAATTGTTTTATTAGACTAATTAGACTAATACTAATCCAAATATCTACATGAAGGTTGCATGATGAAATACATGCTAAGAGCTTTAGGCAGTGTACTGTAGAGAGAGGAAGGTTTTTTTGAAAAAAAAAAAAAAAGGTAATTTATTTATTTTGAGGCCCCTTAAAAGGACAATGAAAAAATAGGAAACTTATTGTCGATATCAAGAAAAAGATGTTCCTCTTCACTTTACAATTCTAGGTAAATCTATCAGTAATTCTAAATCTATCAGTAGTCTATATTTATAGAATGTTGTTAAAGCAGTGTGACAAAGTGGCCTGGGAAAACCCCTGCCTGCTGTCCATCTCCTGCCTTGCCTGTTGGGTCAGACCGACTCTCAGGCTCCCATGCTCTTTGACATGCCAAAATACATGGTGAAAAAGGAGAGAAATAACTCAAACCATAAAATCCCCTGTGTAGCATAACTAAACTATAGAAGCACTAAAAACGGAAACTGTGAGTTTTTAAACATCCTGGTTTTGTCAACATTTTCTGATTAGATGCTTATAGTTTTTTACCGTCATTTACAAACAGACACTTCATTATCTCTTTGTTAAAAACTATTCTGAGCCAATTATTACTCACAAACTCCAACCTTCATGAAAAAGGCAAAACTAGTCTTCACAAGTTGCATTGAAAGGTTTTCTATTTATTTACTTAAACTTCATGGGAGAGAAGAAATGAGAGAGAGTGTAAAACATTTCTGATGAAACAAAACACCATTGAAAGGTTTCATAACTCTGACAGATGACCTCCTCTTGCTAAAACAAAAAACTGGGTTTAATGTAGTCTCCCCTGTTTAACCATTAAAATGACTGGACAATTGTGTTCTAGAAACATAATTCACATTCAGTCACTAAAGGTAAAAATTAGGGCTGCAACAACGAATCGATAAAATCGATAAAAATCGACTTTTAAAAGCGTTGGCAACGAATTTCATCATCGATTAGTTGTGTCGCGCGATTATTGCGTCATCCGCTGCGCCGTCATCACTGCCTCTTGACTGAAAGAGGAAGGAAAAAAAATATGGCAGAGCGAGTCAGCGCCGCAGGAGCAGTGTTGCCAACTCCGCGACTTTTCAGACCCCTCCAGCGACTATTTTTCAAAAAAGCGACTAGCGACAAATCTGGCGACTTTTTTCGTTGTCACTGGTGGCTTTTGGAGACTCTTACGTGAAAGCATGTATCATTCCTACTCTGCCGTGGGGCGCCTCCCCCACCCCAACCGCGTTTTCCCGCAGGAGTCCCTCTCAGTCAGAGCCTCAGCGTCCAGACTGCAAATGAAGCGCGCATGCACCGGGATTGACGGCGCAAATTGATCACAATAATTAAAATAGCCTGCGCTTTGTAAAGTGAAAAAAGTGATAACATGCAACTTTTTTCAAAAGAAATTAACATGGCACGGAACCACCATGTTTGTTTGGTTTTAAAGTGGGGAAACGTAACGTTAGTTTCTCAGGTAGCTCATCTGATGCTTTCCTTATCTTGTTAGTAGGTTACAGACAGTGATAAGGTTGGCTACTTATTTTACTTTAAATTTCATTTGAACTAGCTTAAGCAGCGTTTACATTTACTTTATAAATAAATTAACTTGCAAATTATGAGGGCAAGACTTTTAAAGTTTAAATCTGGCAAAGATAAAGTAAAGATGATCCTGCAATTTATAGAAGTAAAGCAGAATAAAATCCAGCAAGATCAGTAATATGTCAATTAATTATATGCCACATTCCCATGTAAATATCTGTCTTTGGAGGATGTGTTTTTTAGCACCCCTAGTTCTCTCATTTTTATTCCAAATACAATTTATAATTTGAATCACAGGGCTATTTTTATCTCTATGGTTCAGTATTTTCTCAAGTAGCAACTTTAACTGCTATACTTTCCTGTCTTAAAAGGCAGAACTCTTCTAGTCTAAAAAAAACTCATTTGTTGAAATGGGGGGGCCTATTGTTTGAACCCCTTAGAGGCTTTTAAAAACAAAAATGTCTTTTTTTGCGCTTTATGAAACAAAGTACCCTATATTTTGTGGATGTACATCTACATTTCTCATGTAAGTTTGCGTAGTTTTAACACAAACATTTATTTTTCATATTGCATCAGTACAGTTAATGAGCAACCTGTACTTGTGTGCTTGTTTGTTCTGTCTATAATGTTTATTTTGGAAAAAAGAGGTTAATATAAAAAATATTTTTTGTCCGATTCATCGATTAATCGAAAAAATAATCGTCCGATTCATCGATTTTTAAAATAATCGTTAGTTGCAGCCCTAGTAAAAATTACCTGTATAAATTGAAAATAAACATAATTTATATCTAATAAAATATTATATTTAACAATGAACTTTCTGGGCTACTAATAAAAATGAAAATGTTAATATTTTTTTATATTTACATTATTTAATAGTTATTGATCTTATTATTGTTGTATTTTAGTTTGTTTATTTCAGATTTAGTAAGTAACTACTACTAGTTCTACTAACAATGATAATAATAATAACTTTCATTTAGTTATTCCTTAATATAATTGTTTTTTTTATATGGTTGTTTTTTTTAACTTCAGTTTTCTTAATTTAAAAAAATAAGTTACTACTACTACTTACAATGATAATAACAATGATAAATATCATTTAAAGTAGTTCATTTAAATTAATTGTTTAAATGTATCTGATAAAATTATGAAATATATAGTCTACTAATCCTATATTAGAATATTCAACCATTTTAATTACTCTAAAATCACAAGCACTTGGGTTATGCAGCAGGACAATAATCCAAAGCACGGGCGCAAAGTGTCCACATTTTGTTGGCTCCAAATATGTCAGGTTTTTAAATTGCCGTTTCAAATTCCATACTTAAATCTGATTGATAAATGTGGACTGACTGCAAGCAAACCAGTCATGCTAAAATAAATTTAAAAAAATTAAAGTTAAAATTAAAAAACTTGTGGAAAATTATTTCCTAAACAATTATATAAAATAAATATTACTGTTCTCAAAAACACACAGTGTAGTTGGTACAGGCCGTGGAACAAGCATTAGGTAAGGGAATATAAATGTTTAACTCAATACCTTTTAAATTTTCTCTTCATAAATAAAATGAAATTTAATAGAATTATAATAATGATAGCTGAAACATTTAAGAATACAAAAGGCTAACATAGAAGAAATGCAAATGAGGGAAAATACTTTTCCAAATCACACATAAATTCTAAACTTTTTTAACTTTATCCTAAATATATCTCTAAAGTATGGACTCTAAAAACTTCATAGCATCTCTTTGAAAGTGTTATATAGGTGCAGAAGATGTCATTTCAAATAAATCTACCTGTACCTTAAATATTTATAAACAGACATTATCCAACGACAAAAAAAACAAAAAAAAATTTATATTAAACAGTTTTAACTGATACCATCAACTTCAGTTTTTGATTTGCTATATCTAATGCAGGATAGCACAAAAAAAAGTAAAAGAGAAACCCTTACCGTTCCAAAGTCATCATCCACGTCACAATGCTTAGATTTCTATCAGACCTTCTGTGTATCTTGCATGCAGGTGTCATAACTCCTTTTTCCAGATTACGTTCATGTGTGTATTTGTCAGTGTTGTACAGAAGTACAGAGTAAGATTATTCCTCTATGCGTCACTGTGAGTCCAGCATGTGATTGTTTGATGTGTGTAAATGGCTAGAGTTTATGTTTTTCAGTTCCTTTGACACTCGCACATACACAGAGCTCTCCTCTGTGTATTGAGAAGTCTGTGTGGTTTGTATTAAGGTGTGTGTATGTGTGTAATCCTTAGTGCATAACAACTCAACAGAAGAGGCACTATGTCACCAACACCATCAGCAGAGAGTCCGTA